TCCTCTGTTCCTGCTAACAGCTATTAGTCAGTACAACTCAGACTTGAATAAATTAACACCAACTAGATGCAGTCAGCACTTACAGCAACAGCTTATGGGCATACCTCTGCATATGCCTGGTTAGGAACTTAAAAAGAGCTTCCTTCTCCTGGGGCTATAGTGGCTTGTCACTGTTGTATGACCATATTACTCAGTGGGTGTGGAGTTATCGAGGCAATGACCTAAAAGAATGCTGAGTATCAGTCTACAGTGTGGAACTTTTGCCTCCCTAGGTCTGCTGGTTCATCTTTACTCGCATCTCTTGGCACATCTTTTCTGCACCTAAGAGTCCACAGAGAGCTGCTTATTTTGAAAATAACACGTACACTGTAAATGAAAAAACATAATCCGTAAAATGTTTTCAAGATATTTTCTGCCAACACTGCTGCTGTGTTTATAGCCAATTTATTTCTGTTGGCCTTTTAGATTTCCTGTTACATGCAGAATTACCTTGAGAACAGGAATGTGAAGTTAAAAATACTGATTTAGGTGCAATGCAATCTAAGAATGTACATCATGTACAGCACTAAGTCCTGTATATTTATGATTCAGAAAAGAATAATGTACTTAATACAATGCACTGCTTTGCAGAATGTAGAATTACCTACATATAATAGCATTAACTATTGGTTCTCCAACAAAAATCAGATTTGAGCAGTTCTATCTGAGTCAGACTTCTCCTTCCTACCTTTTTAGTTTTATTAGCTATCCTGAATTTCTTTTCAAGAAGAATCTTCTAGGAGAAGGGAAGGAAGTTACCTTTCTTCTCTATTTCTACTACTGTCCTAAAGAGGACAGGTATATTTGAAAAGACTCATGCATGAGACAGAACTGTATTTCCTTGCCTGACTTCTGTCCCTGAGTTGCTTTGAAACCTCAGTGAGGGAAAAATGAAAAAAATCTCTTTTGTCTATGTTATCCCCACCATCCCTAAAGAAAGCGCTCTGACCATAAAGCCAGAAGAACATCTGAAGCCACTGCTAAGCAAACAGACTAATTCAGTCACTCTTAGCCATTAGAAAAAGAAGAGAATATCTATACAACAACACAGCACTTAAGACATGCTATGTGGAATGTTGTTACCTAAACCTTGTTCCATTCAATACAGAATATTTGAATATTCTCTGAAATAGAAATTAGAAGCCTGGTCTCCTCATGCATAAACAGCATCTTCATAGGAGCACTTGATAAATCTCATTTCCAAAAGGTTTTAACCCCTCTGCACTCTCTTGGGAAACGCAGAAAATTAAAGACTGACCTACTGTGCAAAGAAGTCTTCTGAACCACTATGTAATAGCTTCACACAAGCAAATAAGTTAAGGTAGAGGTGCCAGAACTTTCCCTGGTTGTGTTTTGTCAAAGCAAACTTCAGCCATTTAACAAGGAGGTAAGAGTTCATGAGTTAATCATGACCAGCTGAAGGTACTTCAGTCTGAAGATCGGGGTAAAACTCAATCCTACATTCAGCCTTGTCTCTTATCTTGAAGGCTCCCTACTCAATGTCAGCATCTTTTGGATTGAACTCTGAAGCACCCAGCTCACCTGTAACTCAATACATACCCATGCTGGGATACTGATTTGCTCTAGGCACTTAAAGCTCTAAGTCTGGTGTTCCTACAGCATTTTCTGAAATCAGCTTTCAGGCACTTCTGGAAGGATTCCATATCAGTTAAGAGTTCTACACATTTAAATCCTGTTGTATTCCTAAATTCTACACCTTAGATGCGTTCTAGGTATGAGTTGCTCAGGCTTGCCCATAAACAACAGGGCATTAGGGTGCTTAAGGCGGACAGCAATAAAATGATATTGGCCACCCTAATCTGTTTCCCTTTTTTCTACAATTCCACAAGCTGGGGGAAGGGGTTCATTTACTATTTTATATCTACAAACTTCTAAAAAATTTGCAAAATTCATCTTGATGCTGTTAAACAAGATTTAAGCAAGACTGATAAATGCATGCAAACAGAAAAGATCCAAATTAATGCAAAAGTCAACCTAGCCCAAAGCAAACTACTAGCCTTCACACAGATTTGTATTCACACGCTTAGACACCGCTTTGTTAACTGTCGGACACACTTAGTGAAGTCGGTAGGATATTAGGTTTAGAAGAGGCCTTAAGGTGTGGTTTTAAATCAATTTAATTAAAATAGTACAAAAAGTTGTGCTCATCCTCTGAGATGAGATCAGTGTTCCTGATTCACGAATTAGCCAAGCATCAGCTTAGCCATTGCAATTGTACATGCAGGCCTTAACCTGTGGCTAACATCAGGCACAGTGTGATTAAATCCAGGAAAATCTGGCAAGAAATGAATATGTTTATTATCTGCTTTTAAACTCATCCCCTACTAATAGTGAAATTTAACAGGTATGGTGCACGATCCAATTAATACTGATCAAGGGAAATGGAAACTTGAGTTCTTTAACATCAGTGGGTACCCAGTCTTGTAATGGTGTTTTATACAACTTTTACAATATATGGTCATAGGAATTTCCAGACGATTATCTAGATATGACATTTGTTTTAATTTATAGGAAGAAGCTCACTAGCACAGGTAGTACTAATGAAAGAAAGCAACCACAAATTTGGGAAAGGTGTTGCATGTTCAGCACATAAGCAGAATCTGCCCCCAGAGATTACACTGAGATCAACAAGCCTTTAGAGACTGACATTTCCATTTGCAGTTTCCAATTAAAGCATGCATTATTTATAGCAGTAGAACCTTGGCCTTAATATAACACAACAAAGAGTCTTCTGTCAACTATGCTACAGTTCCTAACCTATGCTGAGCCTGCACTTCGTGGAACTGCTGCTTTATGACAGGTCTTTCCTGACAGCAAATGGAATTAGGAAGGGAAGGGAATACAGGGGACAGTTCGTTCAAGAGTAAGCACAGTTAACACCTTTGTAACAGTCACACAGAAAACCTACCTCAGATTCCCCTCAGACTCACATAAACTGACATACAAAAAGCACACATATCCCCATTTGCTGGACGACATAGAAAGAAAATAAAGCACAGCAACTCAGATATTCCTTGAAAAATTGTGCTTGGGAGTTGGAAGCAGGCTTGGAAGATTTCTACTATACCTAGCAGTTGGACTAGAAACTAATTGCGTGCTGATCTAACTGCATTTAAATATTCTATATCATTAAATGATAGTTTTACATGATAGCCACATTAGTCTTCCACTATGACCAAAGTGTGTGGATTTTTGATAAAAAGCTATTATTCCAAGATGTCTTACAAACAAAACAGAAACATGTCAAGATTATTAGTTTCTGTATCTAAATTTTCTTCCTTTTTAGAGAGCAAAGAAATAATTCTGATAGAACATGTCATATTCATATTGAAAGATCACTTACAAGGACATACCAAAATCCCTCAATTTACTGCAGAATAACTGTACTGCCTGAGGCTGGTATAAAGAACAGATTAGAATTTGGCTCTATAAATCATACCTTATACATACAAAACCTGCTATCATCAGTCAGTCTTTTCAGTAAACTAGTTAATGCTGAATATCTCTGCCCATTTACAACAGGGTAATAAATATGAAAAAAAAAAGAAATAAAGTGGTTATTTTGTATTCAAGATCCCATTTCTAATTAACTTATCAAGCCTATTATGCAGCCTCCTCAAGCAACAGTGGGGGAAAAAAAGAAAAAAAAAACAACCCAGCACATTAAAAATTCTAGTGGGCATGCAACTGCACCATGCTATGCCTGCAGCTCTGCTACTCCAAGATGTACTCTTGCCTGTTCTCAAATGCTAAGATTGAGCTTGGTGCTTATGTGAAAGATATAAAACCAGGGCAGAATGCTGCCAGAAATAATCTCTAGCAATTACTAGTAATTTAGTAAGTGATACAGATCATCCTTCACAACATTACTGAATAAATTCCCTAGAAAAGTAGATTGTCAAGGTGACACCAAAATGAAAGCTCAGTTCACTTACCAACTATTACAAGTCTCCTTGTGCTTTTTGCAAGATTGGGACTGTTGATCTGAGTTTTGGCTGAATTCCAGTTGGTTAATTAAATTCCACATACCTGCATCTCCTTTGCATCCCTTTGCCACTGCTAAATGCTATTAAGCAACCAACGTGTTACGTCGGTGTCCTCTGGGCCAAACATCAACATGGATCGAAATGTTTCCCCAGCGCAAAATCAGTGAAAAGCAGCTGCAATCCTTCAGAATAAAGTGCTGCTGTTGTCATAAATGAGTACTTACCACTCAAGCAATTTCAAGTTAAAGAACCATCAGATTGCTGTGCAAACAAGTTAATGCAATTTACATTGCAGCATTTTAAGGAAAGAAATATTTCTCATTAGTAATAACGTATGTGCTCAGTTGCAAATGTCCAACTATTATGCTTCCAGATGGAGAGGGACAAAGCGTTTATATTTGGTATGCATCTCCAACCTTTTCTGTACCAAATGTAGAGGAAGATGAGGTTTGTTCTGCTCATCAGTTTCTAACAATATAAGAATTTTCTTCTCTGAAAAAAGTTTCTCTTTAATTCTTTAATAAAGGTTCTACCTATAAATTGCCAGTAGCTCCTCTCCACATAACTCTCTTACTAACATTTTCCTGTAAATCAAGAAATCTACAACTTACCTGAACGGAAAGTTTTATCCTGTTGCAGTAGTATGTTCTTTACAATTTTGTGTAAGAGAACAGTGATTCTGTCTGGTAGAAAGTTGAGATACTAGGTTCTTTATCCCCATGGGTTTTTTAAACCATCATAGGCAAATAATAATGGAATAAAACCATTTTAAACTGAGCAATTTCTATTTGGGTAAATAAGGTTCAGATGTACTTAACCACTGAATTTTCAAGTCAAGTTTATTTGATGTCATATTTCAATAGTTTATATTTTTACTTCAACATTGAATAATAATAATATGATAATAGACACGTTATAAGAAGTAACCATGAAGAAATTTAGTGAATACTTTTAACCACATTGAATGCCACAGCATCAGTACATTTTCTTGAGTCATTTACTGTTTTATACAGACTGCATTAAAAATGAAAGATGTAATACACAAACCACCTGTAGGGTTCACTGTCAGCTTTGACGCTTTTCAACAGATTCTGCCTTGAAATGTCAAACTCTTCATTAGTAAGTAAGCAGAATGTATGAGTAAGAGGTAACCAGACCAAAAATCAACATGTCCACCCTTTGTGCAAGATAAATCTCTACGATACTCTCAGCACACTAAAGTTACCACCTGTACCATACCTCACACAAAGTACTTTGGAAAGACCATACTAAGTTCTTTTAATTGCCACATAAGGGCCATTTCTTCTCTTCTTGCAGATAATCCTTGGCTTTCAGCACAAAAGCCTGACCATGCCAACAGCTTCTTTATTTGCTGGGATGCTCAGGTGGAAGTTTAAGCATGAAGAGCCTAATGTTCCACAAGGAGTAATTTGAAGGTAAAGATGGGCTGGGAACTGGTTAATGAGGTTCCTGAACCCAGGTGATATTTCCTAATATGTTTTCAGAGAAGTTGTTTGCCAGGGAAAGAAGAGCAGCAAAAACCACAACCAAACACCTCACCAGTGTGAGGTCAGTGTATGTGAAGGTCCAAGCTCTTCTTCTGAATGCTGTAATGAAACAGAAATGTATCAGTCATTACTACCATCAGCAGCAGTGAATGAACACTGCACAAGCACAAGCAGTCAGTCTCTAGCTGTAGTGTTCACAAATCCAAAATAGTCAAACAGTAAGTCATCTTTCTCAAGATCTAATGGCCCTGTCCAGTAGCAGAGCTAGACCAGAATACAGCTCTCCTGTTTGATTTTGGTTATAGCTAGCTATATTCACAAGCAAGGGGTTCTAGACCTAAAATGCCTCTCCTTTTACACAAGCAAGGTGACGCCTTTCACCATTTTTCCCCACCACTGGAGTAAGTTAGTGGAGTTTGCACCACATTTTCAGCAGTATTTCTATTTCAGTTAGTTGTGCAGCTGTGGATATTCTTCTGGATATATCTATTCTTTGAAAATAAAACCTCTATAGAGGCAACAAAAGATCTAAACTCCTACAAAAAAAGTGTCCCAATTTACTTTTTAGTCTTAATAGGACTTATATGCACTTAGATCCTTTGAATACAATTGCACCAGCATGAAACCACATACACCAGCGATGCACATATTTGCATGGGCATATAATTCTAGCTCAACGTACTGAAAGCTGCGAACTGGTCAGAATATACTGAAAAGTTCTGAACTTGCATTTGTCATTTATTCTACCTATTCTGCACTATGACTGAGGGACATACCTCAAACTAAAGAACTTAACCATAACAAGTTAATTCTTGACAAATACTGTGCAGGATTCATTCTGTACTAAAATGTGAGGTCTGCCATATACTTACTATTGGTCAAAATCGTGCCCTGAGACAGTGGAATTATCATCTGATACTAATCAAAACCTCAGTTCTATCAGATGTAGGAAATATCAAATCTAAAATCTAAACCTTTGGGTTCTGACACTTCCCTCATGCAAGATCAACCAAGAATCCAGCTGTACACAGGCTACAAGAGAACCTAGACGCAGACTTTTGGGTTAATCTCAGCATTTATCTAACATCAAACAATGAGACTCCAAAACTTACCAATTTATGACATAAGCTTCTCTGAATTTTGGGTTTCCCTCAAACAAATATTGAGGATCTATTTATTTTGACAGCAACTATCTGCAGACCTATGAGGTAAGATATTAAAACAATCATCTACAGGAGGATTCAACCCACATAGTCAACAGATGTATTATCTTCTACATTTCCACTGTAAAGTTAACTGTAGGCAGGTAGTAAGAAATCCTAACAGGTGAATTAGCCCACACATTTAAATAATATCTCATATGAAATTAAGACATCTTGTAGGAATGCCCATCATTCTACATTGAATATAGAATAGAATCTACAGAGAGGTCAGATTAAACAATTAAGTTGGCTAAAACTAAATTTTAGACTTAGCAATGTATATACTATACCAGTTTAAAAACTTCATGGTCAGTGATGCCAATATTTATGGGTTTTCTGTATTTGGGGTAGTAGTGTTTGGTGATGGTGTTATTACAGGAATGCACCAAGCAAAAGACCTGAGGCATCCTGAAGTATGCTTAACTTAATAGAGAAGCATACCTTAACACTCCTTTTCCCTCACACCTAACAAGAAATTTAACTGATTGACCTAGCACAGAAAAACATGCATTTTCAAGCTAAGATTTACACAAAGGATGAAACATTTTCCCATAAATTATTCTTAAAGCAGCACAGAACCCTCCTTATCTCTACTATCATCAGAATTCCACAATTTCCATGAAATCTTCTTGCAGTCTTTGACAGCAAGACTACAAAAAATGTGAACCCGTCAGATTCTGTGCCATCAGAAGCAGTCACCTGCCTCTTCCAAGTCACTAAGCAAGGCAGATATCTCAAGCAAATATACATCTCCTCTTCTACATAGCTCTAACCTCTTGATAAGCATTAAAGACTAACTGTTGTGAACAGCCCAGTTGCAAACATGTACATATATATACACACGTGTCAATACACGTAGAGATACATTATTTTGTAAATGAGTATCAGTAAGTAATTTATATTTATTCATGAACTATATCAAAATACAGTAAAGATTTAGAGATCACACTTCTCTGTATATTTCACCACTGCAGGTACGCCATCCTTAGTCTTGCTTACATTCAGATCTGCATGTGATTTCTACCCTTTATACCTTGCTGTTGAATACAGCACACTGAATCAGCCAATGGGTTCTGTGTTGGTGTAAAGAATATGCTTGGGGGCTAGGTTGGGTTTGTTTAGGTTTTTTTTTCTTTATTTTTTCTTTAGTATTCCTACACTTCATTGTATTTTTGATACAACTTCTGAAATAGAGTGTGCTACATTCTATTGTGCTTAAAATTCTTAGGACTATTACAGACCCAAAATAAATTACTTAAGAAAAAACAAAACCAAAACAACCCTAACTGTATTTACCCAATTCAGGCAAATTGTTTCACAAGTGGCAATTTCAAACATCCAAACTATTTAGGTCTGGAACACTATGCAGAAATGAACTAAATATTTTTTAAGTATAGATTTCACATACAATGAAAAGGTACTTTCAGATGGTGTTAGCATTTACTCTTACAGACACTGGTTAAAACATTCACTTCCTGATCCCATAGACTCTCATTATATAATGTTTTAAATTTATATAATGTTTTAAATTTATTAAAGAACAATTCTATTAATTTCAAATGGACCCAGTTTTACAGCAAAAGTTAAGCATGCAAATGTTTATAATATGATGGCTAACATGCATCTAACAGGGCAAAGTAGGCTGGTGGAAGGAGGCATATTGACAATTTGAAAGAAACAAAATAATTGGTTCCTGTAAGTGAGGCTTATTACAAGTAAATGAAAAAGTATATGCTTCTAAAGTAACACTGCAAAAAGAGATGAAATATCATGGCAGGTATTACAAAATGATTTGTCTCAAAAAAGGATACTCAGTAGTACAGGACTCAATGACAGCTCCCTGCCATGCTTAGTTGTATCCAACAACTAAACAAATCATTGCAACAAGGCCAGTAAGTGATCATTTCATTATAGGAATTTCCTTCATTTTTTGTTACAACATTTGGATAATATTTACAATTCTGCATTTTTACACAGCTGCCACAAAAACTAGGAAAAAGCCTTTTTTTCCTGTTATTCCATTACCAGATACTGAACACCTCTTGGTGAAGAGGGAACTTACTTTAAGCTCAAGGTATTTTATCACTTTTGCTGGTTGCATTTCCAGTTTTTAATTCTGGCATCAAAAGGCTCTCCAAAAGGAGCACTGGTTTTGTAATCAGAATTACCTTTATTATAAGAGCTAAAGAACCAGAGTAAACTAATCTTTTTATTTTTTTTTTGTTACACAAGTAACAAACCAAAACTAATCAAGCTGTCTTTCCACCAACCACTGCACACCTCAAGAAGTGACTCGTGGACATTAGCTTACCTTCGTTTAAACCTTTTAGCTTTAAAACAAAAAAAAATAAACAAAGCAAACAGTACATTATTTAGTGTAAAGAGTTTAGACACACACAAATTTAACATTTAAAGCCTGCTAAGTACATACTTTCAACATGTACTTTGGTTTTACTAAGACCAGCTCATGCTCCCACTTATCACATGATGCACTCTGCTACCACTGCAAAATGAGATGTGTTAGCACTATCAAAAATGTGATCATTTCCTCAATCTGTGGGAGGGTGGAATCAAAACACTACAAACAAAGCTGCAGACAAAATCAGAGTGAAAAAGCAACGTGGTGCACCTAAACCACCAAATAGGACATATAGTTAGTGAATGAACACATTTTTGTTTTTTTTACATAAGTCCTACCACTTGTCTGAGTACCCTTTCACACACATGCACAGGTACTGTCACCTTCTACTGGATATTTTTGTATTTATCCTGTTAGTGTTCCATACATCTTGCAGCACAGTCTATGTGGTAGTTAAATACAGAAAGAGCTGTAAATAGGGGACAGAAAGCAATTCCCTTAAACAAAAAAGCCTTCATAGAGTAAAGGTCCCAACACGAATATATGTAGTGATGGGAGTAAGGAGTGCCTACCTTAAGGTGTGGGGATTTGTTGTTGTTTTTTCAAAGCCAACAGATGTACAGAATTTGTCTGACAGAGGGATTGTTTACAGTTACCAACTATATGAACAAAGGCAACATTCACATGGTGTCTCACTAGCATGTGTTTGCAAGTGCCACTATAGAGGCATAAGAGCAGATTTCACATTTGAAAGGCTTCTCGCCTACCAGGGAATGGAAAGCAAATATGAAGGATGCCATATCTTCCAGGGGAACACAAAGTGTGTGTGGGAAATTCAGAAAAGTATCACCAGATTAGCATTTATAGCACATCCTCCAAGCCACAGCTCATCTTTCATATGATCCTGTTGCTAATGAAGCATGATCTTAGATAATGGTCTGGGCAGTAAAAGGTTGTAGTCTGTTTTACCAGTAGCAGACCTACCTCATCTAAATTTGGCTTCAACCATAAGTCTGGTCAAGAAAGACTGGCAGAACTATTTCCAAATTTAGTTTTGATCTTTTTTTCTGAATTAAAGTTCAGAGGGACAACTTTCGGTGTACTCTATGTCACCAACTGAAAACAAGCAAATCCCCCACAAAGGGGAAATGTAGCAGAACAGGAAATTTTCAAGAAGCGATAGGAAATTACATTAAGGTAAAGGCATTTTAACTTAATGAAGAAAACATGAAGAATTTTCTCTAACGACAGCAAGGACAATATTTAGGTCACAATGAAAAAGGAAAACAATGACTTTCAATAATAAAAACATTAAGAGGTATATTCTCAAAGAACTAGCTTCCCCTTTCATTTACATTCTCACTGACAAATTCTAATTTACAATATTTAACTTCATATTTGTATGAAAATTCTGAAAAATTAGTCTTACAGTGGAAAACCTGAAATGAACCTAACCACAGATTAAAAAAATTAAACGGAATCACAGAAAAGTAAGGGTTGAATGGAGGTCATTCAGTCCAACCCCCAAATAGGTAAACTTATTTTCATTTTTATAGCCAAAAATAAAATAAATACCGATGAAAACATTTGAGTAAAAAAAAAATAGTGAGAAATGAACAAATTTTAAGAATCCTTGGTGTTAAGTCCTAACTCCAACCCTGGTATAGTAACAATTCTCCTCAAGACACTTCACACCAACATTATTACAAGTAAGTCTACTGTGCCAGTTTTATTACTGTTATCTTTCAAGAATTACTGCAGGGGATATCACATTGCAAGACTACTGCATAGCCAGCATTCTTTATGCTTACCCCCAGTTGTCAACGGGGAAGTAAACAGGAAAAGGCTGATGACATTTTCAGGAGCAATTGTCAATGGCTTGGTTATCTAGACAATAAATTATATTTTCATAGCTAATAAGCAGCTTCCTAAAACTAATTACATGTGTTTGCTGTGGGTCACATAGGTGGTAATCAGCATAACAAGGAATAGGAGACAGTTCTAGATTTGCAAATGTTCTTCTAGTCAGTGACTTAGTGTCTTTATTTTTTGCATAAGTTTAATTTATTTTGTGTGGGTTTGGTCACTTGTCTACTTATGCACCTAAACACCATTAACAGTGCCTAGCCACACTGCCTAGCCAGGCTCCCAGTAGAAGTCAGTTAGCGCTTTTTTGTCCATCACTCTCCTTCTTCTGTACCTTTAGAAGCCCTGTCAGTTGCCTTCTACATAAGCTAAGAATATTTAATAGAACAAATGTCTGTCTTTGAAGACACAGCACACTTGCCACCACAGAGATTGAGAGCCATCTGTCCCAGTAGCATGAGACGTCTATCAGCCCCCTTCACACCTATGTTTCCTGCCAGACATCTGCCTACTCTCCTCTGTCACCATGTGTGATGTCGTGTCTCCAACGCTATAGGATGCAGCACCACCCACAATGCTCAAGTGTTGGGAGCGCAGCACTCCTGCCAAACGACTGCAAGAGTATTCCATTTCTTCAACTTGACAGGAAGTTAATTCTGCCAATGTGGACAAAGGTGGATATTCCCTAGTCACTATGCTGCCAGGTCCTATAGGACAAGTTCTCCACAAGCTATTTTATTTAAATATTACCACAAGCATCGAATTGGCCCCACTGTCCTGTCCACCCACCCACTGCACATAACAAGTAGCAGTTTTCAAGACACCATTAACACAACATAGCACGTTTCCATCCTATTCATTCAGCTAAACTTATTTTCTAATCCTATGAAATGCTCAGTTCAGAAGAAAGGAGGAAAGCTTTACTTTTTAAATAACAACAAGATGGAGTAGATCCAACAGTTCCAAGCAGACAGTGCTACAAAGTACTTTCTTCAGTGTAATTCGGAATTTCTAATGCAAGTGCCTTTTCTGGCAGAACGGTAGACTTAATATAACCATGGCAATACAAAGTCTATGTAAACAAATCACTTGACTGAGGCAGAAAGAACCCCAGAGCATAAGACACAGAGAGGCTGGGCCTTTGATAGAGATTCAACATTAAATTTCAAAACAAAAAAACTGAAGCAGGAAGCTTTCCAGAAAATGAAAGGGAATGTACTCAAGGTGGAAAAACAAATCTGTTATACTGAAAATCTTGAAATATGCCAGTACGTGCAAGCTGATTTTAAAAGTTTTGAGAAGACATTCCTATTTCTTCCCTAGCTATGGAGTACCAGAACAGAAAAAGACTTACGAACCGGTTAAAGCCCACATCCCTCTGAACTAGCAGAGACATCCTTTTCAGTTAACAAGCCAGCAACATAAGCTATCCTTGTCTTTGCAGTATCTGTATCTTTAGGTAGGTGTCTTCTGAACACAAATTCTAAAACAGGATCAAATATATCCTTAAAGATCAATATGCCTAACTGCCATTAAAAAAACCCAAAAAACATTTCTGTTAAAAATTTGCCTATTTTGTTAAATCAGGATCACAGTGTTTGGTTTCTGCATATTCAACATAAGAGGGAAAATTATCAGTAGGGGAAAAATACCCCTTTTCTCTATAAATTTTTTTCATGTCACAAAAGAATCACTCCTACACAGCATTCAATATTCAACTGTACAGTACTTTTTTTATCTCCCTAAGCAGTTTACTTAAGTGGTAACATAGAGAAGACATATATGTAATCCACCTGTATGCATTTGCATCTGCTGTATCAGAGAGACCTTGTTTCCTAGTCACAGTGCTGGCAATGAAAGGCTTTGATGCCAGCATGCATTCCCATGTGTTTCTGCAGAGCTAACTGTAAGAATGCTTCCTGTCAAAAAGGAAATGAACCTTGTCACAGCTGGAAAATCATCATCTATTCTCCCTGTATAAGTGGTCTGGAGGGATTACATTTCTCAGTTACTGTGTTAATTTAGGCTTTTAATGCCTTTTATTATGAGTATTTAAGGCTATTAGTTAGGAAAGATTGATATCACTATGGAGAAGAGCACAAAGATTCCTATCAAACCTATATACAATGAAATACTTCAGTCACTAGTTTATTATTTTTCAGTTATTTACTTATATTCCCAAAATGACAGTTTGCTGTGTCAAATTAATTTACTAGCAGCCAATACTGCATAACGCAACATGATCATATCAGATTGTGGTATTTTTATGTTTGAATGGTCCACCTAAGTCTTCTAGAAATTATTTGTCTCTGCTGTGTAACCTGCTACTCTTTCAGGCCTGCAAGTGGAATTTATTTAAAAGGGGGGGGAAGCATATGAAAATTATGTATGTGCTTATACACCAAGAGGATTCCGAGGAATCAAAATTTTAAAACATTTGAAAAGACCGATGCAGATCACAGATGTGGTGTTCCAAATTCCTTGATTTTCCAGATTCTTCCCCATACCATGCTTAGAATAGCTCAAAACCATACAGCTCTAACTTAAGAGTTCCTCAAATTTCAGCAACAGAGGAAGCACTGGCTATTGACAAATTCAAACACAAGTCTTTAATGCTGTAAAGTCACATCTTTAACACACAATAATTTCAAAGGGAGAAAGACGAGCATAGAAATTTTAAATTTTTGCCTTGTGGAAGTCAATTATAGCAGGTTTAAAAAGGTGCACCTCTATCCAGATTATTGACAAGCACTCAGCAAAAGGACACATACCTGTAAATAATTAATTACTGAGTAAATACTATTTCCAAATACATGCATTACATTCACATGTTGGATGTAATAAACAGGATTACTCATCTTTAAACACTTTATAATGAAAACGCAGCTATTTTCACAACAGATTTATGAAGGCAATTAAAGTCTAGCTATTTTGAAAACAAAGTATTTTAAAAAACAATGAAATTAGTTTATATTATATTCAAGAATTCTACTGGTAAAAGTATTTCTGCTAATTCTAAAGTAAGAGTGAACCATACAGTTGATATTTTATGCAACAGTATTCAAACAAGAAAGATGCAAGAGGGGATTTAATCCTCAGTTGTTTGTGTGGATTAACACTTTCTTCCACCACAAAAATGAAGCTTACATTGCTAAAAGAATAAAAGCCCTTAACTTGCATGAGAGAATTTAATTACTCAGGGGAGCTGTTGAAGTGTTTGATGAAGAGAAGGTGCTAAAACAGTGACCTCAGTAGAACCAAGGGCCAATATGGAAAAATCTGGGACTTAAACAGCAGGCTTCAAGATGAAAGCCAACTCTGAAAGTCAAGCTGTGCCATTCTGTGTAACTATTTGTAATAATTTCCCCCGCTTCTCTGAACATTGTCATCTTTAAAGTGGAAAAACCATCACAAAAAAAACCCCAGAAGTCAAAGATCTAGAGTTTTAACTCCTACAGGATAGGCAGAACCTTTTTAGAGCTATGAAGCAGAGACCAAAAATGCAGAGGCTATTTTCTGTAATAATCTTGTGAATCCAAGTGTAGTTCAAAGGTGTAACATACCAATTCATGGACTTGGAAAATATTTTTTGTTTTCATTTCTACTCATTTAAATGAGAATTATAACTGTATATTCAATGCATTTAAAGTCATTTCATAATGACTTCATAGAACAACCTTTCTGAAATGCTTTGTAGAAAAGTAATGCTTTTTGGACTTTCTAGCTATTTCAATTACTCTTTAAAAAGACAGTGTAAGCATAATTGCCCATTTCCAGCCCATTTAATAGCTTTAAATGAAAATTTCAGAATTCTGATGAAGTTGCCATCGTAGGCAGCACTTGCAGTGCAAAATCCCCAGAAATACTGACATGTTCTCTTTTTTTGAAGGAGAAAAGGAGGGTTGGTTAAGTCTTCTAAAGTTAAGGGACAAAAGTCCAAAGGAACCCGGAATATGGATGATTCAGCCTGTCATTCCTGATATATAGATAAGGTGTATCTATACAGTGGGACATTCTGACCCATTTAGACCAAAGGGTCTTGAATTCTCTTGATCAAGTTTTAAACTCCTTAAAGGTCCCACAACATTATAACACTTAGGATTTTAATGAAAACCATTAAGGCAAGACCATCAACAAATCAGTCCTGTTAGGAATCAGCTTCATTCTTCCCAGTTAGCTTTTGAACACCGATTATAGGAGCTAACACTCATAGATGCCACTATGATCTGCCCTTCTTTTATAGGCACTATTGGATAAAACTCAGCAACTGAAAAGAATAGACTGCCCTCTCTCTGTGGCTTCTTGCTAACTACTTGATCTCTAACTTTAACAGAACCATAGCCACACATTTTCAAGAAATTCACAGTGATAGGTAATAGTCAGCATTTTCCCATACAGTCACAAAAAACCCCACTATACTCCCAATCAGTAATATGGTATGCCTCCATAAAGTTTTAGATGACAAAACTGTACTTTGTGGCTGAAATAAGGCAATAAAATTTGGTTATATTGTTTAGCATCACTAGAATTTCCTGTGAATTCAGACCTTTAACTCCCATGCTCTGTCAGCAGTACACACAAGCCACCCTTGTACATGAATGCATTAATTATACACAAATTAAAAGCATCACTAGATTTAGTGTATCCTCAGATTTATTTTCTGATGGGAGAAAAACGTCTGTGAGAACATTATTTTGAATTGTAATATTACATTAACTTGCAACATAGAAAATAAATATTTGAAACATATTAAGTAAGACTCAGGTGACATTAATTAATATTGTCATGGGGTTTGGTTTTTTGGTTATTTTATCCTTTAAAATATACCCAGACCTAATTGCCACAGTCATAAAAATCTTAAACCTTCATACAGAACTGCGCTTTTTATAACCTTGACATAGATTTTACTAAATAAATTTTACTGCTTAATACCAAAAAGCATGAAGATTTCCAATTCATACATTCCAGCTATCCTTGTAGCAAAATAGGTAGAAATCATCATTTTAAACTCTCACATCGGTATGCAGCTCACACTGAGGATCTCAGGCAAAAAAGAACACTAGAAAAGCGTTTGAAAAGTAAAAATTCCCCTCTGACGTTGTTCATTTGCTGCCCCCTCCTGGTGAAAAACAAACAAAGCGCCACAAGACAGCAAGGAAAAACAGCTGGTTTTCCAAGTCCCGTTACGAACACTTCACTGGTAACCTTGTGACGGCAGACCTTTTTCAGTTTAAAAGAATTTCTTAAAGTTTTACAGCATCAATAGACTCTCAAATATGCTTCCCAAGTGACTGTGTTAGGCATAACGAGAGACAATACTGGGACAAAGAGAAAACGAGGCTACTTACTTTGGCATACTGGAGCTCTGCGTGGTGGCACAGCCCGCGTGCTTGGAGTTGCAGTCAGCATGGCAGTGTTGTCTCGAGGCCATTCTGCCATCAGCTGTTCATCCTATGCTGCAGGACACACAGCTGGCTGGAGCTGTGTGCAATTGAGCTCGCTGCAACTGGAGACAGATCCTGTTCTGCCACGGGGTCAGGGCCTTCAGCAGAAAGAATTAAGAGACAGCCACAGGCAGGCACTACGGCTAATTGCTGGTTTCAGGAGTTAGCACTTCAGGGGGGCTGTAAGAAAAAAACAGTGCTGACACGAAGTTTGTTTTGCTGTACAAAACTAAGTCAAGCAAAGCTCAAGTCAGGACTAGGTATGAAAAGTTCAAGTTCTTAACCTTTGACGTAATTACAAGCAGCATTGCAGGGAGAGCTCCAGAGACCCAGTCCATAAATGTGCCCTTTGCTTTCGAAACAGGAAGGAAGTGCGTTCATCAGATGACATGTTTAACATGTAACCTCAGAAAAAATTTGTATTGTCATACTCCACTGGTTCAAAAATAACTGTGGCAATGATACAATAATGTAATGTGCTTAACCTTATACTTCTCCAACTTAAAACAGAGGCAAGTTTTGTTAACTGACTGCTTCATTTAAAAAAACAAAAAAACCCAAACAAAAGACAGATGCCTAAGTGAAAGGTACATAGTAACACTCTGGTCTACTCACTACCTACTAACAAAGCTGCTAGCTTACTTCAAGCAATTAGGCCTTCAACTAACCAAATCCAAATTCCACTTTTGCCTCTTTTTTTATTGTACCAATTTCAGCAAGCTCCTAAAACATGTGTTTATTTCTTTCCACGCAAGCAATATCAACATCAAATCGGGAAATCCAGATTCAGTATAGATAAATACTTCAGCCCTAGAAAACAGTGGGATAAAGAAGCTATTTGGGGAAAAAAGCTTGACAATTTGAATTAATTTATAATACACAACTGTAGAAGTGACTTCTCTAGTTAAACTATTGTGAAAACGTTTTCTAATAATGTATGGCCATTAACAACAACAAAAAAAAGAACACGCCCCAAACCAAATTCACATACTTAGAAGAAACCTAGAGAAACAGATGTACACAAACTTCTCTATCTAAAGATTAGGAAAGTTATCAGAATATTTTGTAATGTCAACTCATGGACAGGTGGCTACCAGAGATTACTATTTCTTCATCAAAAAGAGAGACCTTTTCGGAATAATAGGAAAGCATCAAATGCCTTCTCAACTTCTCCTTGGAAGAAAGGATGCACTTGAGGTCAGGTAAAGTGTTGGTGTTAAGTCTTAAAATTGCAGATAAGTAGAATTTTACACTAACTGATAAAATTGGTGTTCAATAAATATGCCTCTTAAAAATGCAGCCTTGACTACAAAGGAAGCTGTTTTTTTCACCTAGTTAACTTGTAGAATTCCAAGAAGTCTCACAGCACCTCTCTTGGCTCTTCCAAGAGCTTATCTCAGTGACTCCACTTTGTTGTTTCTTGTAACAAAACGCAACAAAAACCTTTAGCAGCACCTTTTGATCAGCACCTGGTTAATTTTTTCAAAAGCCTGGTACTATATCATAAACCAAGTAGAAGGCAGCTATTTGAACAGGGTACCTTATTTTTGTTCAGGCTATCCAGGGGCAACTTTCTTATAAAAATAAGTAAGTAAATAAGCAAACAAATAAATGTGCCAGACTATCAAAAGTTCTGCAATGAAGGAACAAAATAGCAAGTTTTGCTGTAATAGAGGTGGTACCTATTGTAGGTATTGCATTTAAATTGACTTGAATCCTTCTTTCTAGTTGCTTTTGTGTTGGAGCACACAGGATTATCTTCAGGCTTCTGTCTTCTGTCCCTCTCTTTCATTTGTGGGTTTGGTTTTTCATGATGGATTTGTTTGTGATGTCCACTCATTTGATGTCTGGTTTTGAATACTTGGTCCCAAAACGAAGACAAAACTGATGTAGAAGTTGTGTGATTTTCCATACGCTCCTTCAACGGTTCTCTGGATTGCCAATTAACAAACAAATTACGTAAACTCATTTAAAAAGAAACACAAAATACACTATCAACCAATATTTTATAATACCATCAGTGATGGAAAGACTTAAAAATCTCAGATATTATACTTTCAGGTGAAAGACAAAGTTGTAGAGAAAATAAACCTTGCTCCTCATTTTGTATTATGTTTGTGAAACACACATAAAATAGAGCTTCTCAAAAAAAGCCATTTTTTGGGGTTGTCTTTTGTTCATTTTCTTGTGTTGTTTGTCTGTTTTTTACCCTTTAGGACAAAGTTAGATCCAAGTTAAATATAAGTGATTTTGAGGAAAGCACTGCTCTATTTTACTTTTGCATATATTGCAAATACAATGAATAGGCAAGTGACTCAGAGAAATGTTTAACTGCCATTCACACACACCCAGGAAGTACAGATTGTCATTACTAGATGTACAATTGCATTATAAAATTGCTAAAGTTCTGCTTGGCTCATCAAAAGATAAAACCAAAATTAGGTAAACACAAATTATAATCATAAAAATGACAGCATTTGGAAAGTCACTACTGTGTTTACACACTTGCCACAACAATAAATATCCCTTTCCTTTTAAAAGTGACAATGCAAGAAGGAGAATCGTGATTTTCAAGTATCTCATTTGACCTGTAGATAAAGAACAAACAACTGTTTTACATAATACAGCTACTATATTGCAAGGAATTGACTTACATCATGAATATCCAAATATTGTTAAAACAGCATATAATTCTAATTACACTGTTAAGACCAATACAAACATCAATGAAATGTCAGCCACTTCCAATCTAAAATATAAGCTTAAGAAACACAGTGCTGCATATATATTTTATAAAACTAGGGAAAAAAAAATCTATTACATGATTGAGAAGATAGTCAGTGTTTGCTTCAGAGTAAGTGAAATACTTTAATCCACAGCATTATTTGGCACAGAATCACTTAATTTGACATAGTTTGTATATTATTGCTTTTGTATTAGCAACAAAGTAGCAAAGTACCCAAAATTCTCTTTTCCCTCCTCCCTAGTTTATAAACAAGATATAAAACCTAATGTTAATTGCTATAAAAATAAATCAATCTCAGAACAGTTGTATCAACTCTGAAGATGATTTGTAAAAACTGGAACTTGGTAATGTGAGACATTTCAGCACACTGCTATTTACAGAAAGAAAAAAATAAAGACTTTTTTTCCTCACCCAGTTTCATCAAGCCTTATGTATTAAATTGCCAATTCTTTTTAATGTGATGACACGGCAAGCATCAGATTACAAGAACTGCTGGATTATGGAGTCTCTAGTGACTGAGAGAAAAGGAAGGATAAATTGCCAATTTTGTGACCGTTTACAGATTAAAAAATTATTCAAAATCTTATGGGTTCTTTTCATATGCTGTATACAAGACAGCATTATGAATAAACAAACACTTACCTGACCCTCCAATTCAGTGTACACCAGTTTCTCCAGTGTGGTTCAGTGGTCAAGGCACCACCAACACATGTAAGGATATTGTGATGGAGCTGAAGCAAGTGACCCTAAAAGGGTCTACATTTAACAGGACCTAAGGAAGAAATATGTGAACTTTTATATAGCCATGTTCTGTATGGTTCATACATGGTGTATAGCAATGTACAGCCTAGTAACTCAGAACACACAGCAGCTGCTAAAGAAGATGCCATTTTTCGTAATTTATTTTAGTATGTTAAGATAGACTTACAACATATCTCCCACAACACAAAATACAACCTATATTAAAAAAACTCACATAAAATTTAAATCCACTGAGATTGTAAACCAAGAAATAAAAATTAGGAATTGCCAAAATTAAAGTTGCCTTGGTAACCTTAATTTCATTGTTTTTGTGTATCTTCTCTGTTCTCTAGAGAATAGAAATGAAGCAGTACCCATTCTACACAATGAATTTCAAAAGGATCACTGGAGGCAGAAATTTATATACAGTCAAGTCAGGCAATTGAAGATTTTTCAAGTGTACCCACCCACACAGATGAGTACTTGGCTTTTTAACCTGTGTCAAGAGTTTTCTTAACTTTTTTTTGTGGTTTTGTTTTCTTTTTAATGTTTAACAGGTTTTAGGCTCTATTTTTTAAACCAAAATACCTAAGAAGTTAAAACATAAATTCCAGATTTCACAAAAGGAAGTCATATGTATATGCCAGAAACCTCTGATGCTTGAACTGATTGTCATTTGAATAATGGCAGCAATAGTACACAGAAGTGATTGTGTAGCCTCTTATTTTAGTGCTGGTTCACATGTCTGAGACTAAATCCTTTCTGTCCACTTCAGACCAAACTGCTGCCCAAGTTATTCTCATTTTCTGAGACTTCCCATTATTTTACTCTTTGCCCACTTTGCCCTGTCCCAGTAGCAGTTTTCCTAACATGCCAAATTCTGCTTAAGTTCATCTCCTCATTTCAATATTTTCCTCTAGCAACTTCTAACAGGTTTTCCAGCTCCACCAGTCTTCAGTATTCAATTTTTTTTATATGCTGTCTACAAAAGAATTAAAAATCTTTGCAAGCCAGGTATCAAAGAAAACTGGCAAGTTTTCTCAGATCCTGTCCCCGCCTCCCTAAAACAGTCTGTCACACCTAGCTTCCTGCAGCAAAGTATCATCTTTGTTCGCTGCATTTTTCAGAGACTGTGAAGACGCCAAATCTCAACAGATTTTTGCATCAGGAATGTGGCCTTTTGTCTATTCTAATAGACGACACCATCTGAAAAATGCTTATATATTCCCTGCAAGCCATGGACTATTAGGGCTTTTTAAATAAAAGGTACCCACAATCCTATGGTTTCCACTTGAAAACATTATGAACAGAAGGTTTTCTCCATATGTATTCTAGAAAATTGGCTGAAACATTTTGGTTGATTTGTTCTTAAAGGAAAAGTTTTAGTTGTAGGCAAAGAACATGGTGAGAAATTTCAGTCAAAACAGTTTAAACAAACAAACAAAAAAGCAAGACAGAAGAACCAGTGAAAACAGTATCTTTTAAATAAATAACAACACTGGTAACACAGCAGATCATCTAGAGTTAAAAAAAAAATGCAGTGTGGTTTCATAATTCTAAATACAAAGTGTGCAGTTAAAATATAGAAGTGAGAGATGTAGGTACATCATAAATTCATTACTGATTTCAGTGAAAGGGGCCACCTTTAACATAATATTGGGGAGGATATGTATATATCAGCATGAAGAACTGCTGCTAGAGACGTACAGCCTTTACCACTATTAAAGATAACTTAGAAAATCAAACACTGATGGTGTAAGAATGCACAGTTCCCCCCCGCTCCATTTTTGTTCACCCTCCAAGAGACAAAGCTAGATAGAGTTCTTTGAAAGTTGCTTTAGGACTTAAGAAGTATTGAAGCTAGCCATAAGAATTGTTCATTTGATGAAGCTGAAGTTAATATATTGATTGACAGGCTGCTATACATTTCCCAATAAGATTCACTTTGCTTCACTTAATAAGATTAACCGAAGACAGCAGTCCGAAATCAGAGACATGGGGACAAGTCTCTTCACATAGCTCTGTTCTACCACAGGTCTAGGTCTTTCTTTGCAGGTCGAGATCTGAGGAATTGAAACTGATAACAGCATGAACTGCAGCATGCACTTTTGACATTGTTAAACGTCCAAAAAGGAATCAGAAAGAGACTAAACTTTTGGGTCAAAACAGATCTAAATTGAATATTGAACCTGGTCATCATTAAGAGTATTACAATTCTGGTGTTATTCCAGTTACATTGACACAAAGCGAAATCCAGAAAAGCTTCAGACACGAAGCATTCTTCAGCTTCGACATGCTAAGCAGTACAGTATCCCCACCCCAAGTTTGAAAACACAACAAACAATAAAAATGTGATGTAATACAGTCTTCCTTGTATGAAGAAAGGATACCTTCCTCTTGCAGATGGAAATAAAGCTGTCACTGAGCAAGATGAAGCAAGACTGGTAAGGAAGATAAACTTATCGCTACTAACTTAACAAGAAAGAATTTCCTTTTAAACTAACAGACAACTAGCCATGCAACCAAGCAATTATCAATTGCCAAAATAAGCCCATCAGGAACTCAAATCAACATAAAAACTATCAAAAATCCAAGCATCTCATCATGTCCTGCATCCAGATTCCCTGCATTGAGTGTTGTTGCCTTCTTTTTTCCTCTAACTACTTAGCTGCTCAGTTGCTAGCTCAGTGCAGCTGCCACATCCCACCACCACTGACTGCTTTGTTTAGTGCCTTCAAGCAAACTGTAAGAAGTTCCTAGTCCTTCCCCCTGCCATTCAAAACAGTTCTAATCTACCTTAATGAGTTTTAAAGCCTTCTTCCACCAATTAAAACAAATTTACTTGCATTAAGTAAATATTTAGCACTGGGGGAAAAGGGAAAAAACTGGAAAAATCATCTCTCACATCTTGTATTCACTACATCGATACAGTTTGAAAATGTAACTGTGGTTCCACAGATGTTTGCAGACCTTAACCCATTCCTTGGCTGTATTAAAGGCCACAGTTTGTTACAATAGGATAAAATCAGAGTAAATACAGTAACTTAAAGCAGAAGAGAAACATTTATCCATGTTAAACAATCATTAACATAAATATTCAAACTTAACTCCTATGTAGTTTAAAAGTATTTCGTGCTTATTAAGTAACATGACACCAACTTTGGCTGAGATTTCAGAATAAAGAGCAATTATTGATTATGAAGACATAATTTGACCATGGGGCCTTTGGCAGCAAATCCAAGGTTAGCTCAGCTCTACAAATGCTTAATGCACTCCCAATGTCAAAACAGAACAAAAAACCAAACCAAAACACAATAACAAGGAGCTCTCAAAGAGTTCAAACCACAATTTAAAATGAGTTAGCAAAATACATCCTTACAGTGGAGCTATTTTGATGTGAAATATAAAGCATATGAAAAATATTGAAGGAACAGATACTTAGGAAACATCAAAATACCCAAGCTTCAAAGGATTACTTTTAGTGGCATACACAATGTACTTTACATGTCCATTTTCTTCTAAGTACATTTGCTAACAGCCTAAATTTGGTCTGGAGAAACTACTGGTTGGAGGTTGCCGGTTTTGCAGAAAGGATTTCAGTTTAATGGGAAATGGAAACGAGATCACTAATTGTTTCCTGTAAAGGTTTTAATATAAAAATCACTCAACTTTTGTAGCAACTTCTGAACTCTTTTTTAAGATTTGAGATTCAAAGACCCAAAGTTATGACAGGCAGCATGAATAATCTTTCCGGTCTTTTGCCTCTATCCCTGATGCAGATAGAAGACTGTCACCATACAGCCTACACAACTATCAACAACTGTTTTATTTTAGAAAAGTGAAAAACAAATAACATCACATAATCTCATACAAGAATCTCCCAGAATGACAAATTGATAATTTTGTCCCAAGTAAGAAATTAGGAAGAAACTTCAGTATTTTAGCAATTTGTACATTTTTTTCCCAGTAACCACTTAGGCTTTCGCATAGGTCAAAAGCTACAACAAGTATATTGTACCAAATAACTTCAGCAATTACAGCTGAAATGTGACACTAAGTTAAACACAAGCTTACGCAAGTGCGAAGCTACATTTAAAACTTGTTTCAAAAATCATCCCCATAGCAAGCAGGAAGGCTCTTATACCCATTGTATTAGCTCTGCAAGCACAACAAATCAGCAAAGGACAGTTCCTTTTCATGTTACACATTCTTCCTTTAGTGGAAGCTTCCTTTAATGGAATGAAACACCTGAAAAAAGTTTGAAAGTTTCTTAGTTCCTTTAATGTTTCTTCTCCACTTCAAAAATTTAGCATGCATTAAAGGAATATTTAGAAAGGCTTCCTTTGCTCACATTTATCATAAAAATGTAAACAATAATCAGAACAAATATAAAACACGTACAATTCTATACTACTACCAAGTATTTAAAAATTATTATTTAACATATTAAATTTTTCACCAGGAAGCTAAAATTAAGTAAACTTTCTGCATGTTAACATAACAGTGAATGGTAAGTTATAATTTTCAAAATTCATTGCCCCCAGACATACTGGAAATTGCCAAAATAGTATCTCGAAAAATCTAGTCCCGGGTTTTCTCACTTCAGTTGTAAGGGAGACGGATTTTTGATCCCCACGTCTCCCACCGAAAAGGAATGAAATTATTCATTCAAGAGGCAATTCATAATTCGTTAATAAAAACCAGATATCCTTTCACTTACAAAAACATCGTTTGTATAAACACTCATGAATCTTTTTGCTGTTGTAGTCATCTTTATTTTGAAATACTGTGAATTGCAGCTGTCTTTCCATGCGGTTTTCTTCCCAATCCCTTAGAGAATAAGTTATACTGGCCTGCAGCCTTATTGTTGGCTTGCAGTCACACACAGTTAAGTGGAGATGCTCTAAGTCCTTGTGAAGCAAATAAAATACTTGTTTTGCTTTTAGTTCTAAAAATTACTGTTTTTTCAATCAATTTTTCACCAGAAAGTCTGCTATAACCTTCTATAAAAATTCTATCTCTGGCCCTTTCAAACAGTAAAAAGCCTCATAACAACCCAATGTATGCCAAAGACAATGAAGACATCAAAATTAGACTGCGTAACATATAACCAATCTAAACCCTTCAAAACCTTTACTGTGACACAGATGCAATGCTTGCCCTGGCTACAATTACTGGAAGCCCTGTCATTGCACATTCCCCAATGTTCCTAACATTGGCAGTTTTCTTACCTGACCACTGCCACAAACTCCAGAGCACACCCATGAGCCATCACCTTATTTCACAATTCCCTGTTTTTTCACTAGGCCCTATTGAGCAATCAGAACCAAATCAGTAGTTCAAAGCATAAAGCAGGAATTTTGTTCATATTAACAGAAGCGGGCATGGAAACCTTGCTAAAATCACCTACAACACTGAAAGGTTAACCGGAACATTGCCCCGACTACCTTTGTACACAATCTTTCAAGATTTTACCTACTGACTAAATGCATAGCTTTATTGAGGGCAAAACACTTGCAATTAGTAGCAGAAACATTATTTAATCAATAAGAGAAAAAATATAAAAAAGTAAATAAGCAACATCAGTAGTTAATGCAAAGGTGAACAGCACGAAAATACTGGAATAATGTCCTTTTGTGATTTAGGAGACACAGATTATGTTACTCAGTCAAGGTCTTCCATTTATAAATGGAGACAATATTTAGCTATTAGCAGTGTCACAAAACTTGAAAAAGCTAAAAAAAGCATTAACCTTGATAGAAGTACCTTTACAGTAATATTAGAGCCATTAAGAAGCTAATAATATTGAAATAATTGGAATATGATGGTCAACTACTCCTAGAAACATTCAGAATCCAAAGTAAAATGAGACAGGATTTTTCAGAATGAAGGAATATCATCTAAATGTGAACATTTACAACGCATTTTTAGAATTTTTGCAATTCTTACATTTTCTTTGCTTAAACTAGCATGAAGATGTTTTACAGTAGCTTCTTACGGTAACATTTACAGCTCACATTGAAACTCTGTAATAAATTTTGTATTGACCAAATAAAGTTATTTGCACAGATAAGTTTATAGTTGAGGAGGCAACTGTATGAGAATGAAAAACAAAATTTGACTTACTGGTAAAATCACTGTGTGGACATCTAACCATATCCTGATAATGGTAAGCAAGCTACATGAAGATTTCTTATCTGCTCAGTTTCAGAAGAGGACAGATATACCATGCACTGGGACGAGGTTGCCTCTAATGGTTGTTTTTATTCACTCTCCAGGCATCTTGTGACATCACTTGCACAGATGAGGCACTGGTAGGTTTCTTTTATCTGCTTGTGTGATTTTTCAGCGATTTTCTATTAAGATCCACTTGGTCATGGGACAATAAACACATTTAAAACCACGATCCACATCATGACCCTTTCAATGGATTTGCTCAGCATCTTTTGGCTCTAGTGCTCTATTGCACATGTTGCAAAAGTGCTGCCTTCTCTCAGAACCCAGCTTTAAGGTACAAGCATCTTCCACAGAACGAGCTGACCCTTCACATCAAGTTTGCAGCTATTTTTGTTGTAATGTTTACACCTCGATTCAGCTTTAGCAGTTTTTATCTCCCCAGCAAAGGTCTGAGTTCTAACACTGTAAAATGATAGAGACGCTAAGACTCACAGACTGGGCTTCTCCATCCTTTCTCTTGGAATATAGAAGAGAAGTCAGCACTGCAGGGTTCCTCAAGCTGCAAATGAGCTGCTGCTTCTCCAAACAAGGTGTTCACTTCACAGGAGTGAGAGGCATGAGGATTATGCTCAGGCTCATGTCACAATAGTGAGGACTCATATTTTGAGGCATCTGATACACAGGCAACAGGACAGTTATTTTTTGCAAGAGTTTATTTGCTTTCATTATTTTCATCTCCCATGCTATATGACTCATCTTCACTTTTGTCCATTTTAGGATACCCTGAAATTTGACCTGCCATATCTGTCTCACACATTTGAGCCAGGTGCATCCTGATCTTACTTTTGATCCTCCTTATTAAATGGCAGAGCTTGCACCTGTATATCTCCACCTGAAATATTTCCACCAGACCAGGCAATCTGGACTTCAAAAAAGCACAGCGGCATGTTGTGATGTCCTTGAGGTGATGTGCAGGTGCATTGACAGAAATCACTGGTATTTGTAGTTAAATTCATTAATTTTCTGCAGTTGCTAGTAGACAAATCTACAAAAGACAATAAGAAAAAGAGTTAAAATTCACTTATCCAAACTCTAAGAAGTCTCTAAGGCACTTTAACTGTCCTACCGAAACTCTAACGTGCAGTGAAATCCAAATTCAGATTCCAGTCCTCGGGATGTCCACAGATTTTAAGACTATCTGAAAGAAGTGAGAGTTCTTCATGAGAACAATGATGCCATAAATGACTACTCAAGTCACCTGTTGAAATTAAAAATTAACTACAGGTTAATAACGCTACAGAAATCGGCATTTCTGTGTAAAGTTTACAGCAGCTCCTGTTAAGAGACCACAGCAATAGTAATTTTAAATCTAATACTGATCTTAAAAGCCAAGCACGCTGGTGAGAAATCTGCACCCCTACAACCCAACAGCCATCATCACAAGCGCATCCCAAACATCCCGCCAAACATCCCGCTGCCAAAGCCCACCGGCCTTTCCCCAGCAGCCTGGAAAGGCAAATTAAGCGAACAACGCCTTACAACAAGACCATGAAATCACAGAATGGTTTGAGTTGGAGAGGACCTTGAAGATCAAGCAGTTCCAACCTCTGTGCCACGGGCAGGGACACTACAACAGGTTGCTCCAAGCTCCAGCCAAGCCAGACTTCAACACTCACGGGGATGGGGCATCCACAGCTTCTCTGAGCAATCTACTCCAGCACCCCCTCGTCCCCACCCCTCAATATCCCAGCCAACACCACTCACTCCCAGCCGGCTCCATTCCCGCCATCTCCCCCCTGACGCCCCTGGGGGAGGAGGCGGAGCCTCCGCCGCGCTCGCGGCCCCGCGCGCGGGATTCACTTCCGGTCCCGCGCCACTACCCCCCCCTCCCAGCGGCGGCGGCGGCAGCGAAGGAGTTCGGAAGTTCAAAATGGCCGCCGCGGCCGAGCCCGAGCAGCGACCGCCCGAGTAAGGGACCAGCTGGGGCTGGGGGGGAGTCTCCTCGTCGCGGCGTCTCGGGGAGGAGGAGGGTGGCGGAGGGAGAAGCGCGGGCGAGGGGATTGAAGCGGGGGGATACACACACGGGACGGGGAGGACGAGAAGCGGCCCGGGTGGAAGTGGCGAGGGAGGAGGAGGGGGGGAGGAGAGGAGGATGGGGGAAGGCGGCCGCCCCGGGGCAGAGCGGTTGCTGTAGGAGCCGCTGGGCTCGCGGCGAGGCGACCCGGCGGGGCCGGGGGCACTGCGTTCGCCCGTGGATCCGGGAGGGCCGCGCGGGAGGGGGAAGGGAAGGGAAGCGGCGCCGGGAGCGGCGGGCGCGTGTCCCCGGGAGTCCCGCGTGCGCCTTCCCGCCCCGGGGGCGCTGCGGCCACGGGGAACGGTGATTGCCGCTGGGGAACCGGGTTTGCCGCGACATGGGACAGGGGGACGAGGGTGTGTGTGTGGGGCGCCTCTTCCGCGTGGCTCCGAGGCCGCCGCCGCCCGGCGCGAAGGACTTGGGCATCCTGAGGTGGGTCCGGGCCGGCGCTGCCCGGGATACCCCCCCCCCCCCCGCCACTCACACACCACCCCCCCACACACGCCCTGTCCGAGCGGGGCCAGGGGCGCTCCGGGCCAGCGGGTGCCTCGGTGGTGCCCCGGGGCCGCCGAGCCGCTGCCCGCCCTGCGGCGAGCCCACCTTCTGCCCGCCTTCCTTCCCCTGGGCCCCGCCGCTCTCGCGGTAGGGAAAGTGCCTGTGCTGCGGGAAGCAGAAAGCGATTTGTTGCCGCCAGCCCCTCCTTCCAGCCCTCGAAATGACTGGCAACTCCCGGCTCCCGTTGGGATGCGGAGATCGAGCTGCCGCCTCTCCGCCAGACCGGGGCTCCCGGGCGTGCGTTTTCCTGGCACCCTGGTTAGTGCCGTGTGGTTTGGGTTTGTCCACACTCAGGAGCTTGTGAACAGTCTTCTGGAAATTTTGCCCAGAGTTAACATCCTAATGCTTACTCTATCACTTCTCTTCACTATATAAATATTTTAGCTATATAAACTGCTTTCTGTATTTTTTCTGCCTTAAAAAGTTTTGATTTGGGGCTTGATTTTATTGTTAATCGTGGGAGTGGAAAACGGGTGAGGAAATAGGGTGGGTGTACGTGTGAACTATGTAAAACACATGAGTGTTTAATATTGCATGGAGAAAGTTAACTAAGTGATAAGATAGAAGCTGATGATAGGAACCTTGTATGCAGGAAAAGATGGGTAAAATCTCTTTGCAAATCCTTATGAACTTCCTATAATTCTTCTTTTTTAATTCTAAAGTAGGAAAAAGTAGGGCTATAACAAGATCATGTCACAATTTGTCTCTATTTAAAGCCATTAGTGCCTAAACATGCACATACTAAACTACCTCATCACCTTCTAAAATCTTCTTAAAAGGTTTCTCATCCATGTCAACACACCTCTGAAGCGTTTAAATGAAGTCAAAGTTTATCCACATTTTGATGGAATTACTTGAAATGAATATATTCCTGTACATGAAGAAAATCTGAACTATTTCATGCATATTAATAAACTTAATATTAATTTTATTGTTGAGTTACAGAGACAGCTGGCAGTTGTATTGGCAGTCTGTAATGGCCTGAGATATTGCTAGGGTGTTGTATCTCATCTAGTGCCTTCTCTGCCAGCTTACTTTTCCGGAATTTAAGATGAGGTTATCACATAACTTTAAAATACATGCGATATAACAAAATAACTTCCTTAAAGATTTCAGTGTCACTTTCTGCTGTTGCGAGAAGGAAGACTGCTGCAGTATCCTGTGTCCAACTAAAAGAAATCTTGAGAGATGCATAGTACCCTTAAAATTCTCCTTGTGACATTTCTTTGCCCTTTAACCAACTTATGTCACAGACATACTTGCTCAGGACTGCAAATCCAAGTTGAAGTTCTGCATTTAATACTTTTTCCTTCCTTTTTTTTTCTTTTCTGCCCAATGCAACTTAGAGTAAGTTCTTTTTAAGGCAGTTTTTCTCTTTTTTTCTGATATTCTCTTGTCATAATGGTGTGCAGTATCAGGAGGATGCAATTAAGAAAAAAACCTTTCCATGTGCCTTGAATAAGCAGCAGTAGTGGTAAAGATCTAAAAGAAAAGGCATGCAGCATTCTGACTAAAGTCTCTGAATATTGCATGTTTTTAACTCAAACAATCCCTTAGGAAGTTTCTCATTTCTGAGCACTAAAGTGTTAATGGTTTTAGCAAATTATTGTAGTGTATGTTGCAGAAAAGTTTGTATTATTACTAGTTCTAGAATTTGCATTAACTCAGGCTGGAGAGAGTCAGTAACTGTGCGCTGTTTGAAGACCCTGTCCTGAATTAGGAAGACACTAACCAAATTTATAACGAGGTGCTGTCCTTTAGACCTGGCTTAGAGTATCTCTGATACATTTGTTCTACCAGATCATTGATCATTATCTTCAGAAACAATTGTCATATGAAACTAGTAGAGTTCAGAAGATAATTTTGACATTTCTGTGTACATTCACCCCCTGCTTCTGACTGTCATGTTTAGGGGATTTGTTTTCAACTAATGAGACCTGGGATACAGAAAGAGCAACATTAAGTTGTTAAAGTATTAGCTAGTTTGCTTAGTAAGCTGGTATTAGCTTAGTTTGTAGAAAGGTGAGCTCTGGCACCTATAATATTTGGAAACAGATTCCAAAGGCAAATGTCTGTCTTACCACAGACAGTAACTTGATTGATGTTCTGAAGGAGATCAGGAGGTATTTGCTAAACAGTGTAAAAAACCTATAGTTAAGCCAGTTTCACTGTCTATGGAAGATAATATAAGGGAATGTGTAACATCATCTAAATTTTGTCATTTTTAAAGTTTCTACTTAAAGAAATTATACTTAATTGAAACTATTCTTTTTAGAAAAAACACTGCATGTTATTATTACTTTAATAACCTGCTGCAGACTTATTTTCAGCTGTTTCACTCAATGTCATTTTACAGGTAGAAAGATTACCACTTTTTTTCAAAGCTGCTATCTGCTGTATAGTGTCAGAAAGCTGCTCTGAAATTAGACTTCCTTAATTTATACTCTTCCTCAGTAGTGTTCCCTGCCTTGCATAAATAATACAAATGTGTAAGAAGAGTTCTTGATTTTCTAACAGGTGTGTACACTTACAGAAAGAAGTTTCCGTTAAGGGAGTCAGTCAGCTCTGAGTGAGATTTTACAAGAAGGTTTCGTTAGCTGGTCAGCATCATCCCTTGAAATAAATTTTGATCTTTGGAGCACAACTGTTTTCTACCATTGGAAAATACCTTTAAAAGGCATAGCTTGGGTTAGGCATTGGAGTGGAACAGCAAGTGAAAAAGATAATGATGGACTGACAAGATATGTAAATATGCAGCACTGTTGTATGTTATTAACAGATATTGTCAGCCTTGAATCTAAAGGTGTGAACAGTGATTCCACCCACATATCTTGTTTTGTCAGTGCATTTGCTGTATCTTCCTTCTGTAGTATTTTGCTGTGCAGCAGTAGCTGTCTGTGAGGAACTGTATCTACTGTTACAACTTAGTTAAATTAGTCGTGCATTTTTAATTCTCCCAAAGGTAAGTGATTAAACGCCAGTTAGTTTTTGTCATAAAAAAAGTTGTTGACTTAACATGAGATAAAAGACTGCAGCAAGTTGATAGTACTGATCTTCTTATTTTTTTGCAGGATTGAGGATGCTGAGGCATCTGAGAAAAGTGTAAATGAAGAAAATGGGGAAGTATCAGAGGCAGACCAACCTCAGAACAAGCACACCCGACACAAAAAAAAGAAACACAAACACCGAAGTAAACACAAGAAACATAAACATTCTTCAGAAGAAGATAAGGACAAAAAACATAAACACAGACACAAACATAAGAAACATAAATGGAAAGAGGTGGCTGATGCCTCTGACAAAGAAGATGGACCAGCTAAAAGAACTAAAATTGATTTTTTAGCTCCTCTGGAAGACTTGGAGAAACAAAGAGCATTATTGAAAGCTGAACTTGAAAATGAATTAATGGAAGGAAAAGTCCAGTCTGGGATGGGATTAATATTACAAGGCTATGAGTCAGGATCTGAAGAAGAGGGGGAGATTAATGAAAAAGCACGAAATGGAACGAGACCTACAGCAAAGTCAAACACTAAGGGGAAATTAGAACCTGTGGATAATAAAACTGGTTCCAAGAAAGCAAGTAAGAGTGAATCAAAAGAAAGGACTAGGCACAGGTCTGACAAAAAGAAAGGCAAGTCAGGAGTTGATGGAGTCAAAGAGAAGACAACTAGAAGCAAGTCAAAAGAAAGGAGGAAATCCAAAAGCCCTTATAAGAGAAGTAAGTCTCAAGATCAGACAAGGAAATCTAGGTCCCCAATGCTTAAGAGGAGATCTCAGGAGAAAAACAGAAAGTCTAAATCTCCTCCAGAGGATAGAAATAAGTCTGATGATAAAAGTAAATCAAGAGATCGCAGAAAGTCTCCAGTTGTTAATGAAAACAAAAGCAGAGATCGTGGCAGAAAGTCTAAATCTCCAGCAGAACTAAGAAGCAAATCCAAAGATAGAAGATCACGGTCCAAAGATAGAAAACCTAGGAGATCAGAGACTGACAAAGAAAAAAAGCCAATTAAATCTCCTTCTAAAGATGCTTCTTCAGGGAAAGAAAACAGATCCCCTAGACGACCTGGCCGTAGCCCAAAAGGAAGAAGCTTATCTCCCAAACAACGTGAAAAGTCAAGAAGAAGCAGATCCCCTCTCTTTAACGATCGTAAGTCTAAACAGAGTAGATCCCCCTCTCGAACCCGGTCTCCGGTTAGAAGACTGAGGAGTAGATCTGCAGAAAGGAAAAGAAGAGAATCAGAAAGGAGGCGTCTTTCTTCTCCCAGGTAGCTTAAAGATGTCATGAGCCATTGCAAAAATGCATCATGGGATGAAATATCTTCTAGTTCAGTGCTTACCTACTTGTTTTATTCTGAAAATAGCTATTAAAAAAAGTAATCGGGTTGTGTGTTATATTGTGAGCTTACTTTGTATGTATTTAGTTTTTTAAAAAATACTCCGAGCTGTCAGACAGGCACATGCAGCTTATGGTTGTTAAAGTGCTAAGTTATTTTTTGCTCACACTATTACTGGGAACAAGTTTTATAACTCGATGTTCTCCTTTCTATCACTTAGTTGGATTCAGAATTTGGCTTCTATTCTGTTTCTTTGTTAATAGTTCTGTTGCTTTCAGGAATTTCTTTGGAAATGGACTTTGGAGAGTCCTCTCTACTTTTACATATTACTGTTGGCTAAAAGTGGGTAATTAACCCCATTTTCGCCTCAAAACTCTTAAGATAGAGTCAGTATGCATGAATGTAAGCAAATCTTCTAAATCCAAATGTCCCTCTCAGTCTCTCTTTTTTTTTCTTTTAAAAATACTGTGTATTTTTCATCTGCTAGAGGGATGGTAGTGTTGCTTTGTTATCGGACTGTTGTATATAATTAATATGTTTTGCATACACTTAATGGAGAAGAATGGAAATCTATTTAGTGTATGGGTTTAGCCTTGGCATTGTTTAAAGAAGACAATTAAGCCTAAGAAAGCAGTTACCTTGAAATTGCTATGAAAGCTAATAATGCCTGGATGGTAAGTTTCCAGGAAGAGAACAATATAAGTGTATGCATTTTTGGAAGTTAACTCATTAGCTGTAAAAAGTTCAAGAGGCAGAAGAGTTCAGCATTACATAATGAATGTTTTGAAACTTTCTATCATGGGATTTAGCTTCACCCAGTCTGAGAATTAAGAATGAAGAAGTATAAATTGAAAACTGGAATTAGAACCACAAAGACTGAGCTCAGTAAATAAGCACCAAAAAAACGTGAAGGTCTTTCAGCCTTAATCACTGAAGGTTACTCTGGTTTCAAGTATGGGGTATCTTCAGGTACAGGGTATCTTCAGGTTCTTTGGAGAATGGCCCCACTGGTGTTAATCAGATTAGATAAATATTGTAAATGCTAGCAGTTTATCTGGCTGCTTTCTGGTGCATCAGGAATGTATTGGCACAACCACCTACTTTTTGGCATAGTATTTGACTTTTCTTCTGTAACATTTTGCATCTTTCAGTTTTCATTCTTCATGACAGCTTGCATTGCAGCCAGTTTGAATTGGTTGTCTAGACACTTACTTCAAGTGATGCATGTGTCTAGAATTTTGCTGTCAAATCCTGTAACTCTGTGGTGAGCAGCATGTGAGTGGGGGACTAAGAAATATTTTCTCCTGGAAGTGTTTGCAGATCAGCAGGAATAATGTTTCTTTGTGGGACATCTGAACTAATTCCAGCTATGTTAGAGTTTCAACTACCTGTAATTACTCAAACTGCCAGAGAATTTCAGGAGCTTTCATGAACAGTTTTGACAAAAAAATCCCAGTAATTTAATTTTTCAAGTTGGTTTCCAGTGTTCTAATCATGTAAGACACTTCTCAGGTCTTTGACTGAAGTTACTTATTATATGATGTTACTATGAATTTTTAATCAGCTTCTACTCATCCCTGTAATGCCTGAACTGGTTTATTTTTTGTAACAGATATTTTGATTGGGTTTTGGCAGTACAACCACTTCATTAGCCAGGAAGCCTGGAACTCAGTTCATCCTGTGACTTTTTGTGTAATATTGTTCACAAGAACATAATACAAATTAATTGGGCTAAAGGTGTTGACCTATTCAAGCATTTGAGTACAGTAATTTTTCGTAGAAACTGCCAATACTCTGCACGTGTGTAAATTTTCCTTCTGCCCCAGTGTTTACTATTTTGCATCAGTTCTGTATGCCTGATCATTATATTTAGCTAAGGTAACTGAAGCTGATCCAGCTGTCTCAAAATAAAACAAACAAAATTACAGAATGAGTGCAATTAGTCTTTCAGACCCAAGATATTTTGTTCATTGGTGAGATATAGCATCTGTAATAAGTTGTTCCAATTTGATTAAAAAAATCGAAAAATAAGGAGTGGGGAAAAAAAATTTAATAGAGTAGCAACATTTTCTTTAAAATAGTGTGGAACTACTTTCCAAGAATTTCTGATGCTGCCTCATTAGAATAGTTCTTAAACACTTTTAACTTATATTCATTCCAATTTTTGATTGAAGTCTTGCTGTCTTGCAGTTAAGCTTTTTAATGTTGTTGTCCCATTAAGGATTTTTTTCTTGAATAATTGTGAATTCACAAGAATGAACAAATTTTGAATAGTATATAGAATCAAGCTTGAATTATTTTTTTTAATTTGAGAAGGGTGAGTTTACATGTTAATTAAGAATTCTAGTTTTCATCTGCTGTATTAGAATGCGTGAAATGTTGAAGCCATGCAGCTCTAGTGCCCCAATTGAAATAGGCATTAGTGTCACTACTGTGAAGTTGCATGATCCTAAGCATAGATTTCAATACTATGTTGTAAAGATGCTGAAATAATTCTCAATAATAAGGTTTTGGGGTTTATGTATTGTTTAAATACTGTTTCTGATAAACATGAAAACAGACCACTATTTATGTAAGTCCTAAACAACAACCTTTGTTTTAAAACCTCTCTTAGTTGCAAGGTAGTAATTAGCAAGCTGTTTCCATACTTGTCCTGAACTAGTCCTGTGTGTGGGCACATACTTCCCAGGGTGGGGAGAGACACACAGGAAGGGCAGCCACCTTTGTGGTGTACTTATCCATCTCTCTCTCAGAAGCCCATCTGGTGGTCCCTCACCTGCAGTAAGACTTTTTGAAGTGATTATTTAGAGGGAACTGTGATTTTTGTTGTTTTCAGCTTGCTCCTGATTTTTACTACCACTCTCTTACTCTATTTTAAGAACACGGACCAGAGATGATATTTTGTCAAGACGTGAAAGGTCAAAAGATGTTAGCCCACCCAGCAGATGGTCCCCATCCAGAAGAAGGTCTCGGTCCCCCATTAGAAGGAGATCTCGCACACCCCTTCGACGCAGCCGATCTCCAAGGAGGCGGAGTAGATCTCCTCGAAGAAGGTAAACACAACCCTGTATTTTCAAGTGTATTTTGTAAAGTATTACTAGAAGAGTAAGGACTGCTATCTTATCTGTAAAGACTATGAGGGTTTTTTGTCCATGTTTATGTGTGTTAACATAGTTGAATTCATTTTATTCTCCATGAATTAAATTGTTTTATTACTTGGAGTCATTATATACCTTTATGTTTTATGAATAGATTTTCCTTCTTCAGAAAAACAAACCAAAAACCCTGAGATCTAAATCCTTCTTACTATCAACAGGGATAGAGGCCGAAGAAGTAGATCTCGCCTTCGAAGGAGGTCCAGGTCACGTGGTGGCCATAGACGTAGGAGCAGAAGCAAAGTTAAAGAAGACAAATTTAAAGGTAGTCTTTCTGAGGGTATGAAAGCTGAACAGGAGTCTTCATCAGATGAAAAGTAAGAATTCATTTCTAACTTGCATTGATCATTTAAAAGCTGTAATTCCACTCATACTGAGAATGAACTAATACTTATCTTCATGGTGTAGTTTTTGAGTTGTTACCTAAAACCTTAATCATGTTTTAGTACTTGTGATCTTGTCAAAGTACTTTTGGGATGTTCTGAAAAACTTTGGAATATGCAAAAAATATCAAGACCTTGGCTAGTGGGCAGACCTGAGGGGATGATATATCACTAGATTTGTTAATTCAGCTTGATCAGTATCTTGTTAAAACTTGTGGTGTGATTACTAAAGCTTACTGCTTGAGGAAAAGCTGTAATAGCTGAAAGGATTCGTTGCTGTCTGCAAATTGTGTTTATATTTGCTAAATATCTACTTATTCAATTGTGCAAGACTATGCATTCTTAATCAAATTATTAAGGAAAGGATGCTGCAGTGAAAATGAAGAAGGTTTTTTGTTTGTTTGTTTTCTTTTAAAAGGCTGCTGTTAATTGTTTGCAATTAAAAATGATCTACAGAATGTCCCAATGAGATATTAAGAGATAAATCTTCTCTGTAAGGAAATGTAAATATACACACTGGGATTCAATACACTGTAGCTTTGAGTCAGTTGAACAATATTGTTCAATGTCTTCTATGCTTTCTACACCAAAGAACTGTGTTTGGTAACATTCAGTAGATAATCTCCTGTTTATGAGGTTATATAAAAAATAATCATGTTTTCATAGTCTAGAAGACTTTGATTTGGAAGAAGAGGATGAAGAAGCAGAGATAAGACAAAGGAGATTACAGCGACAAGCAATTGTTCAGGTATGTGGTTACAGACACTAATTTCATGTTTGTAGTGTAAAATGTTGGGATAAAGTAAGGTTCCTTGCCTATTGCTACCTTACAATAGTAATTACTATCGCTATATTTTTCCAATTAATTAATTGTAAATGTTAGTCTCTGTTAAACTTTACACTTCTATTGAAACAGCATTGCTTTTAAGACTGAAGTGATTCTTCTGCAAGTCATTTTTTGCTTCACTTAAACATCTCTGACAGTCTTGGGCCATGTTAAAAATATTCTTATATTATTTTCATTTGTAGAGTTTCTTTGTAGCTATATCATTGATATAATAATGTCAGTGTAGCTCTAAGTTATGTATCAGTTTTTTTCAAGTAGAAGTTGTCCATGTCAGTTTCCAAAGTTTCATAAAGCCACTGGCGTGGGTTCCTCTCTTAAGGTAGATAATGTATCAGTAATCACAGATGTAATACATGATTGAGACCCCTGACAGGGAGCTGTGACCAAAGGGAATGAAATTGTAGAGCACAAGTCAGGTGTCTCTTTTCAAAGGTGGAATTTGGCACACAATTAGAACATAGCAAGCAAAATGCTGTGGCATATTTATTTAATGAGGTACAAAGCCACTGGTTTTAGTGTACTGCTTATTTTGAGTAGCAATAAAAATACCGCTCATGATTTGAGCTTTATGCAAAGCCCACTGTAAAATCCTTCAAAACTATGACTGAGAAAAACCATATAAATTCTCATTAAAGGCCAGTTACACCTGATGTTGGTGCATGCAGGAAGAAAATTCCAGAGCTTGATTCCCTAAATGGAAAACCTCTGCTTGTATTATTGAATAGTTTGAGTGGTATCAGCATTTATTCAACTTGAATTTTAGCTTTTGGGATAGGAAGTGAGGTTTGTGTAATTTTGTAGTACTTAAAGCTAAAAAAATTGTAAAGATGTTGTTTGAATTTTTTTAATGCTTCTGAAATTTTTCAACATGAATGAATGAATAAATAGGATTTCCAATTCAAATAAAAAACATGAATCTAAAAACCTGCTTTTCTCTATCATAACACTAATAAAAATGGGAAAGATTCTAGAATGCAAGACATAAAATAGTTAATTTTTCCTCTGAGACTGTTTCAATGTTTGTATGCCTGAATGGCTTAGTAATAAATCTGTTGCTGCTGACAGTTTGTTGTGCATAACCAAGTAGTTAATTTTCAATAATATTCGCTTTTTACAGAAATATGAAGTCCTAAAGACACCCATTAATTTTTCAGTCTTATGGTCTGGGCTGTGGTGCATTGTGAAAAAAGTCAATTTTCAAAAGTTGTATCCCATTCTGCAAATAATCTTGTCTTTAGAGATGTAGGTGATTATGAAGGCAAAGGTTAAGGTTTAGCACAAGCCATTGAAAGGGTGGGTATGAAAATGCTTAAATTGTGATAAACTGTGATGGTGACATTAAAAATTAAATTTATTTTTAGAAATACAAGGGCCAGACAGAAGACAGTAATATATCTGTACCATCTGAACCAAGCAGTCCTCAAAGTAGTACACGTAGTCGCTCAAATTCGCCTGACGACATACTAGAAAGAGTAGCTGCTGATGTTAAGGAGTATGAACGGGAAAATGTGGACACATTTGAAGCATCAGTAAAAGCCAAGCACAACCTCATGACAGTTGAACAGAACAACGGTAAGATTCTGAAATCTATCTAATGCAATTTATGAAAGCTCAGGCATTTGCTTAGTTTCCTTACATACTTCCAGACTTGGAAGTAGGTTGACATTTTGGATGGAATTTATGAATGTTTTCACAAATATGGTACTAAAAATAAAAGATTAAAATAAAGCTTCCTCATTAGGAAGGATAATATGAGTAGAATTTGTTCTCTGTATTTCTAATAACTCTTAACACAATTTGTGCTATACATTTGGAGGAGCAAATAGAATGTCTGTCTTTATAGTTAAGAATCACCCTTCCAGATTTTTTTTTCACTCATGCGTGTTGTTTTCTTAGAAGCTTAATGTAGCCTAGTCTTTATTTTGGGTGAGCTGGAAATTATGCTCCTTTTCTCCTTTTTTTTGATCAAAGCCAATGTGTCAGAAGAATGGAGATGGGTCTGTAGTCATTTAAAATGATTAAGACTTCAGAGGGTCATTTTAGCAGCATAACTAGTTGCTGAAATGGCTATTTCCTTCTCTTCTTCCCTTCATATAATTAATTGTACAGCAATATTAAAATAAAATAAATCTTGATATAAAACTTGCCTTTTGCCAGGAGCAGCAAAGGGAAAATGGAGCATCTCCCCATGCACAATGTAATATTGAAAATCTGCTGCTTTTTTTGTCTTTTGAAAGTGGATTACTATACATCTTCCAAGTAGTCAGAGGTGTGTCTAGCTGCTGTGTGGTCATACATGAGATAGTTTAAACTACTTCAGTTTCTCTTTACAGTTTAGTTGCAAGAGCACTGTTTAACAAGGGCTGTGGAACCTGCCCAGCCCCTCAGAGGGAAATAGTTGGACAGTGGGTTGTATTTCATGTCATGCGCCACACATATCCTTGGGGGCTAAATACGCTGTCTTCTAGTGGATGCTTCTCTTCCAATTAATGAAATTGTGTCTCTTTGGGACTGCTGTACTGCTCTGTAGTTTGTCCTGGTGTTCCCTTGAGGATTGTGTTTTCAGATTGTTCTCCTACAACAGTTGTGAAAAGAACTGTCCTATGCACTTTATTTGCATATCACAACTTTAGACTTAGTCTTCTTATGTGTAACAGACAGTAAATTTTTCAAGTTTTGTCTTAGCATGTACTGCTCTGTAATTTTGTGTACAAAAGCGTATGAAAATATAACCCTTAACTACATAGACATTTTCCACATAGACACATGAAAAAGGTTTCTAAAAACACATCAGTTACACTCAAGTCTTGGAATTTTTCATTTCCTGGTGGGATCCTGGGTTGGAGGTGGCTGTAACAACTGCTGAAAGCAGTGAAGTATCTTTCTTTGCAAAAGCCATTCTTTTCCTATCCTGACTTTTTACAGGGCCAGAGTAATAAGTTGCTAAGAAACTAGGTAATAACTCATTGTAGCCCAGTGCAAGTGTGAATGATCGGAATTAAAAAGAAAATTTGAGGAAGTCTCTGGAAGGGTCTGTAACTCAGAACAGTGGTGTAACCTGTCTCCCCACAAGTGTTGGGTGATGGGTCTATATCTTGAAACAGCAGTATCAGCATGATGGATGATTTTTTGATGCTGTCGGATTTCAGTCTAGTTGTTTTGTGTGGAAGTGGTTGGTTACATGCATCACGAGACCCTGAAGCCTCTTAGCTTAACCATTTATTTTTCTCCATTGCGTAGTACCCTGAAGGGAGTGTCTGTGATGTACCATGTTCATGAAGGCCTGCTGCCATAATGTGTGTTATGAAACAGTTTGAAGTTTGCTTGCTTTTGCTGCTATGTACTTAATTTATATTTCTTTGCTGTTATCTTATCAATCAAGTAAAATGTCTTTGGGATTTAAAGATGATTAAAAGGTGAGAAAGGGATAATCTTGCCCACATTAAAAATGATTCCCTTTAACACAATAGTAAACATTGTATTTGACAAAAAGCTACACACCAGGTCCTTTTTGGCAGGGTTGGAGAAAACATTTTCCAAAGAAGCAACGTCTGGGCTTTACAACTTTGGTTTTTACCAAAATACTTAGCAGAAAAGCCTGAAGTTGTATATTGAAAACATAAGTATTTTTTTTACATATATGCACAGTCATTTTATACTTGTTTTTATATGTATAGTTATTATTTGTGGGGATCATGTACATATTTAGCTTTTTTTCTTTCTGCTGTGTGAATTACTTGAAAGCTATTACACATAGTTTTTCACAGAAGTATAAATTTTTGAATGCTTTAAAGAACTAGTCTGAGTTTTATATTCTAGAATGTGAAATACGTGAAATGGTATTTTCTAGAAACATTCGTAGAGCTTCCTGTTTGCCAACATACCGATCTTAGACTATGTTGTAAAAATACCAAGTGTCAAATTATACTGGCAACAAAGTTATCATTCGACATCTTTTTCATATTGAGTAATCTAAATTTCATTTCAAGGTTCATCTCAGAAGAAACTGCTAGCTCCTGATATGTTCACAGAATCAGATGATATGTTCGCTGCATACTTTGATGTAGGTAATTCTTGGAGATGAAATGTACGATCTCTTTCTGCTTGATTTTTGTTAGTCACTGTCACTTGAGTGCTGTGGGAACTTTGATTTGTAAAAGCATGTGCAGCTAAGTGGATTGTATGTTCTGAATCTTTTGATCAGCCAAGTCAGACAAAGTGGTTCTAATTAGTATTTCATTGAAATAAAACCTGCTGAAATTAGTGTGACTTTTACCAGAGGAAGCAATTGGGGAATTCACCTGCTGTTTGAATAGGACCTATGATGGCATAGGGCAAAAACATGAACCTATTTATTAGTTAAGCTTTTTGTTAATGTTACCATGTTGCACTGTTCTGTTTTCAGAGGTTCATGTATGATTAATTTAAAAAATGCATAAGATATTTTAATTGTCTAATGATGCTATGTTGGAGTAATCTGGTGGTTTGTTTGGTGAGGTTTTTTTGGATGGAAAGATATATTTCCTGGTTTTACTTTTGCACTATTCCATCAGCTTTTCTCTACATGTGCTGAAGTGACCTGGAAATGTTGGCAGTCCAGTGACTAGTTTTGAGACTTTATGTGCCATTTTCTATAAATCCTCTTGCATTGTTGCTCGTTGACAACACTAAGAAATAAGTCAAGACAAGAACTTCCTTCTTAACTTAGAAATTTTCCAGTTAATTTTGGTTTATGGTCAATATAACGAATTATAACAAATGTGTGTGTGAGGGTGTATTTTTAAAAATTCAGAAGTTACAAGTGGGGATTTATATGGCTTATAAGTAAGCAGTTCCCCCTTCCCGAAACTGTTGTTCAATTGAAGATATTCTTTCCAACTCATAGTTTGGAATTTGTGATAAAATATTGCCAAGTCTCTTAAGAGATGTCAACAGCAATTGTAGTAATGTTATACTTTCATGTATAATATATGGAACAAGTGCCATTGAATGAACCAAAATTCAAGGCTTAAGGAGTTATATTTTCCTTCCAAATTGCTAATTTTTTTATTATGCTGTAAATAAGTCGTCTTACTTAGATGGTCCAAAATGTGCATTCTAATGTGACTTGTAAAAAAAATTCTTGTGGGTATTAATTGAAACATTACCCATTTATGTTTAATAATACTTCTGTTGGTTGATGTCATCCTCTTTCCTTGCATCAGACTTTAGATACTGGTATGTAAATGGCTTTTTATGTTAAGCTGTTTCTCCCTCCTACAAGATAAGTATGTTTGTATTGTGGAGAGGAACAGTGTTTCAGTAGGGGAAAAGGGCTTTGGTAAGTAAACATCGAGGAAAAATACAGAGCACACAAGCAAAGCTGTTACTTTTCTTTTTATTTCAGAGTGCTCGTCTAAGGGCTGCTGGGTTTGGAAAAGACTTCAAAGAAAACCCCAATCTCAGGGATAACTGGACTGATGCAGAAGGCTATTACCGTAAGTGGTATTTGTTGATCAGTAGGGACAGATAGAATGAGAGTGCTGAATGGAGAAAATCCTCATGGAAAAGTACTGAAATGTTATTCTAATGTAGATATATCACAGAGCACTCTCCAATCGTGTAATGTAATGGATTAAATGAGCATGCAGATTTTAACCTGAGTTATCAAAGGACTCCAAATATACAGAATAGCCGTTTGTTCCCCGTAATTTCCACAAAGCTAGGTGATTGTACACCATAAAATTGAAGGATTTTGTCATTTACCCTGTTTTTCTCGAAATTATAGAGAATGGTTTATTCTTCATGAAAAGTTTTCATGAAAAGTTCCATTACGTATGTCACTCATAATTTGAAATTCTTGATTTTATCCTTTAGGTGTTAATATAGGTGAAGTTCTAGATAAACGTTACAATGTCTATGGTTACACTGGTCAGGGAGTCTTCAGTAACGTAGTGCGAGCCAGGGACATGGCGAGAGCAAACCAAGAAGTAGCGGTTAAAATCATCAGGAACAACGAACTTATGTAAGTAATGTCTTTGTTTGATAATAATAAAGCATGTGTGACAGTTGAATGTTTTTTTTTCATTATGTGATTTGAATCTCCCTTTGTTTCAAGTGAAGTGACAGATTACAGCTGTAATTCCTGCCTTTTCTGCTAATTTGAGCCAGATAATGGGAAGCGCTTGAGGACTATGTATCCACTCTTCTTTACAGCTATCACAGGAAGAAGGGTACTTGCATTTTCATCAGGCACTTTCTCATTTGCAAAACTGCAGGGAATAGCCATGGCAAGGAACAAGGTTACAGTTAATTATGAGGCCTGCCCAGACCTAAATTTTTTGAGATGGGAGTCCTGGACTGTAAAAGAACTTTTTTTTTGATGGACAAAATTGTATGTGGCAGGCTGTGGGTTGGATCCCAATCAATCATCTGCAATTTACAAAACGACCTCCATACATTAATTATTTTGGTATCTTTTCTATATGTTTGCATGTATATAAGATACATAAAAAGGGATGAGACTCTCATTGTTGAAATAAAAAAAAAAGTGAGGTCTTTCAGAATGAACATTAACAAATATGATCTATTAAACTATGTTATTTGAGGACTTGTCTACAATATTCATTTTCAGTATCTGCTGCAGTATTTCTACAGCCATTTGTTATGTCCTCTTCTGCTAAAGACAACTATAAAGAAAATCTTTTCTATGCATTTTACTTTGGAAGTTTTGAGAGTTGTCTTACTTTTTGTATACTGGATTATTTTTAGTTATGTGAATAAGTATCTAGAAAAGTTTTAAAAACTAAAGGGGAGCGATAAGCTATTTTAGTTTGGTGTGTTGTATAGGTAATAAGCTTGGTTGTGTAATTGAATCTATAATCAGTTCAGCTTAAATCTTCTTTTAATAACGTGGTTAAGTATTTTTTAAAAAAAATAAACTTCTCAGGTGAGTGCTGTTTGAAATTTCGGTGTCATATTACAAGAGGAAATCCAGTTTTAGCTTTGCATGCAACTGGGAGGGAGGAGGAAGGGATAAGTAGGTTATAAGGCACAGTGAGGATCAGAATTAAATAAACTTAGCCAGTACGTAGACACTGACACCAAACCCCTGTTGTGATTTTGGTTTTTTTTAAGATGTGGTACATTAAGTAATGACAAGACACTTTTCATTCCTGGATAATTATAACCACACAAGTGAATGTCTAGATTTAAAAAACTATTGGAATTTATCTGATTTTGTTTTGTAATCACATTCCTCTGTTTTCAGGCAAAAAACTGGCCTAAAAGAACTGGAATTTTTAAAGAAGCTCAATGATGCTGATCCTGATGACAAGTTTCATTGTCTACGGTTGTTCAGGCATTTCTACCACAAACAACATCTCTGTCTGGTATTTGAGCCACTCAGGTAAGATGACAAATGTTTGGGGTTCTCCGTAAAAGGTAAAGTACTACTGAGTGTTCTTTACCTTTCTGGTTTTGGCTATTGTTTTGATACTTTGTTCTATTGCCAAGATTCAAGAATGCATGGAACTTTCAAACAACAAAAAAAAATTATCTGGAGGCACAAATCCACAGACTACGGAACTATTTCTGATTTCCTTTAAGCATTGATGTAAGCTTTCTGCCTGGAAAATACTTGAAACAAAATAATGTATTAAAGGTGGTTCATTTCATCAGTACTGCTCTTTAAGATGTTCTCTATGTGTATGTCAGTATTTTTATTAGTTTTCATAATTCTTTGTTTTAAGGGTTTGTATTAAACCCAGAGCAGGTTTCGCAAATGCTGTATTTTCTGTGAAGAATGTGTATATATGTATATATATGTAAACAGTCTGAGGAAGAAAATTGTTACAGTGGTTTCTTTTCATGTTCACTTTCTGTTTAAGTAATTAAGTTCTTTTGACACATTAATTGTAGACAGTTTCATGATAGCTACAGATATGTTAATTGTCTTAATCCCCATTCCTGCTTATTGTTCATATCCTAGGTTTTCTGTGTATGTCATTTTGATTTTTGCCATATTTGGGATGAAGATAAGTTATATGGTGAAACAATGCAAATTTTATGAAATTACTATGGTATTTCCATTAATAAGCCATATAACAAATTGAGTTTCTTAAGAGAAATGCACTATCTCTTTATAACACACTTGTACATTATTTATATACAATTATGCTTTTGTCCTGGAATTATGGTCTTTTTATCTGCTGTTTAAGTCGCCAAAAAATCTCTTCAACTTTTATCTTTTGCATGCTTTCTTTTTCATTTATTTCTGAAGAAAATGAGTACAAAGGCTTTACAGTTGTTAAGAAAATGCTGTTTGTGTGCAAATAAATCCTCTCAAACTAAAATTGAATAAAAATGTGCCCTGAACTAAGTAAGTCCAGTGTATATACAGCATGGGATAGATCTTGACCAGCCTTTTTGTTTCATTGCTGTAGCTAACAGTAGTATGTTAATTTGAATGCTGCTTTTCTCAAAAAATATTTAAAGCTAACTGGTTTGTTCAAGTTTATCTTACAGTTTAGGAGGCCACTGTGTTTTTCTTTATTAAGATCCTTTCTATTCTTTCTTTCTCCCTTTCTCTTAACAGTATGAATTTACGAGAGGTGTTGAAGAAATATGGGAAAGACGTTGGACTCCATATTAAAGCAGTGCGTTCCTACAGCCAGCAGTTGTTCCTGGCTTTAAAACTTCTTAAAAGATGCAATATCCTACATGCAGATATTAAACCAGATAATATTTTGGTAAGTAAGAAATAATTGAAATTTATTTTGCACGGTATATAGTGTAAAATTACATATTTGAAATTTATATCATTCGGTTAATTTAGGTGAAGTCAAAAATTACTGAAAATATTTCGGGTTTATACTTCGGTATAAAATGATATTGTGATATAAATAGTAAGTAGGAAATATAATAACACATATAAATAAAATCTTTTTCAAACGAACATGAGTCCACTTGTATCTTTATAGAGAGCAAATTTTCCAAAGTAAGATAGTGTGTTTTCTTAGGAGAAACACTTGGAATTTTTCCACTGATAGTTGAAAAATGTTCTTCCTTTGTGTAAAATGGAAGTAGGTTATCTGAGTCTGGATGGAGATTTTGTTTATGTGAGATAACAGGGAAAGGTCCTTAATTCCTCTTTTGTCTTAGGGCATGAGAGCTACATCAGAGAAATCCAAGAGATTTCCTTTGGTTTTCTTGGAGGTTGTCCCTGTGACAAACTCAGATTTTTAATTTATCTAGAATGTCTTCTTATTACCATCACAGCATTAAAATTTACTATGCAAGCATGAAATATGTGAATAATATGCTGTTTTATGAGTGGTAGGTACTCTGGATACTGGAGTTTCAAGTCTAAACTGATCAAATTTCAGTATCTGGAATGAAATTTGGGTCCACCAAGGATATTTTGATCAGGAAAAAGTACCTGAAACTGAACTCTTTTTTTTGTATTTTGTAGAACCTGAAGGCATTAACTGTCACTTTCAGTTTGAGAAAGTTTTACAGTTTTATTACAATACAGACAGGAAGGAACTTCCAATTTAAAGGCTGAATATTTGTCTTACCTCTGACTTAAATATATTGTCACTTTCACAGTGCTGTTGTCAATTCTGTCCACAAATGGTGCTAATAGATATTTATGTTTAATTTTCAGGTGAATGAGTCTAAAACAATACTAAAGCTTTGTGATTTTGGATCAGCTTCACATGTTGCAGATAATGACATCACACCCTATCTAGTTAGTAGATTTTATCGAGCTCCAGAAATCAGTAAGTACACTTTGGATTCTCTACATGAATCACATAGCAAGACATACCAGTACTAGCAGATGAGAATTTGACTTGAATTTACCCTCAGGTCTTAGCAAAACATGACTCTGGAAATATGATGGCAGTCAGAAATTCAGACTTTGAAAGCACTTGTATGACTTTTCATGTATGTTGTTGGTCAGCTCAGTGAGGATGGGGAGATGTCATTCTGATGGGTTATAGTTTTAATTTGTAGTTGTTGTTCGGACTTCTTGGTTTTTTGCTGATTAGTTTGGTGGTAGGTAAAGTATCCCTTTCTAAAATAGGGATACTTTAATATTTTGCATGCTTCTTTTATCAAAACTTTTTATTCCTAAGAGGAGCAGCACCAATATAGTTTAGAAATCATAATTTTTTCATCTGTCTGCTTTTGTGATATTATATGGCTGCCTTTGTGGAATTAACTGGTATTGCTCTGTTTCAGTTATAGGAAAAATGTATGACTATGGTATAGATATGTGGTCTGTAGGCTGCACATTATATGAGCTTTATACAGGAAAAATACTCTTTCCTGGCAAAACCAATAATCATATGTTGAAACTTGCCATGGATCTCAAAGGAAAGATGCCAAACAAGGTAAGAAAAATAAGTATGTTATTTTAATTAATATCTGAAACTGCTGCAATAAACAGTAGAACATACATTCTTTTTTCTCCTGGAATATTGTTTTTTATCATGTACATCTTCTCTTAACAGTAAGTAAATATCAGATGTTACTCTGACTGTGTAATTGATATTGATTTAAAATCTTATAAAGTGAAAGTATACAGCTTCTTTTTCATAGACTAAGTATAAAGTGAAAGCAGAAACCTTCTAAGCACTGACCTGAAAAAAATACGTAAGTCAATGGAAGATATTGTCCTTTTTCAACTGGTTTTAACTGTATTTTTTTTACTCAATCTAGACATTTTTTCCTGTCCTTTTGATATATTTTTCATTAGTATTAAATTATTCATGTTGTGATAAGTTAGTAGACATGGATGCTAATTGTGAAATATGTAAGACACAGAGAACTTGCCTGAAACTCTTGCCTCTTCCTCATTTTCCAGATGATTCGAAAAGGTGTGTTCAAAGATCAGCACTTTGATCAAAATCTCAACTTTATGTATATAGAAGTAGATAAAGTTACAGAAAGGGTAAGTCCTCAATGCGTTGATTAACTCTTTACTTTTTTTCAAGCTTTCCTACTATTACAGTCTTTCAAACATGCCGTCATCTTAATTAAAAAAAGACATATTGGAAACTAATATGTCCTTTTGCAGCAGTATGGACAGATTATATAGTTACAAAATGGCAAAAGATTTTTTCCTACCATGTAAGAATGCAATTAAGAGAAATCTGGGTTTAATCTGGTAGATATACAGGGTATCTTCACATAATCTATTTTTAAATTACTAATAAAGAAAATTGTGCTTTCATATCAGTATGATGTGCTTATGTTGTATGAGGTCACTTAATTTTGATATCATTGTAACATATTATATTTAACAAGAATCACAGAATTAGTGGTCAGATATGGGAACTTTCCATATGGACTTCTCTGTTCTCAGTTAGCTGGGATGTTAGGTTCATGTATGCACCTGCTGTTGGTGGCCTACCCCCGACCAACTTCTTTTCCCTCTTTTCTCTGCCCACACGATGGTTTATGAGGCTGTATGGTGGAAGGGTGTTGCTGCTCAGATATGAGACAAGCCTGCAGAAAAGCTGCTGCTGAAGCTCTGTAAAAGGGACGGATGGGGGTTTGTGCGGTACTTCTGTTCTACAAGGTTGCCATTTTTGTGTTTGTAGGAGAAAGTTACTGTTATGAGCACCATTAATCCAACCAAGGACCTATTAGCAGACTTGATTGGGTGCCAACGACTCCCTGAAGACCAGCGTAAAAAAGTACACCAGCTAAAGGACTTGTTGGACCAGATTCTAATGCTAGACCCAGCTAAACGGATTAGCATCAACCAGGCTCTACAGCATGCCTTCATCCAGGAAAAAATCTAAACCAGATGAAGAAGTTCAAAGGGTTTGAGTAATTAAGATACAAAGACTGAAGAAATTTCACAGCAGTTATTAATGTATATAAACATAAATATTTCCCCTGCAAAGTTGAGGAAGAAATGATACATTTGAATTAACATCAAGGCTGATATTTCTTTTAGAAATGTTAGAGTAATTGTTTTGTGTCTTATGTGAAAATTTTCACTGTAGAACTGTTTTAATTGCCAAGACTGCACAAAAGTACAATGCTAATGTATATGGTTGCAGTTCGTATATATTATAAAAAGAAAAAAGCGTCTGTTATAAAAAAAAAGAAAGAAAAAAAAGAGAGCAGTAATACTGGGTGGTTGATTTGTTTTAAGCAGACTTGGCTTCATTTTTGTCTTTAAAAAATGGCCAGCATAAATGCTATTTATATTCACATTTTCCTAGGTGTGTGTGTGCAGGCCACAGCAGCATGCCCTTGGTGTAGTCAGTGCCGAAGGGGGTCTGTTCCTTCTTGAGCCTGCCCGCAGGGATGGTCTCCTCTTTTAAAGCAGGTTGTGTACAACTTTCAGTACACTGAAGGTAAGCTAACCCATCAACATCACCGGTGTTTAAGCTGTTATTTTACTGGAACAACTGACAAATGAGAGACAATAGCATTGTGGCAGAATTCCCTGCATGTTTGATAAATGATCTTGTTTTATTTTCTGGCATTGCAACCGTGGCATAGTTACAACTTCTGTTCTGTTCATCACATTTAAAACTTGGAGAGAGCGCACTTGATGGATAGAGCGCCTTCAGTGTACTGTTTCTTATTACTTTAATTTTTTTAATCAACTTGCTATAGACTTTGTATACATTTTGTTAAATACAGTTCACTATGACATAGAACCAATACTTACAGAAGAGTTTTCATTTAGTAATTACATATGTTGGGATCTCATTTGAAAGACCTTATATCTAAAGGATAGATAGACAACATAAAGAAATTTTTAACTATTTGTATGTCATTTTGAAAGTGTACTGCTTTATGCTAAAAGTGTTTCATTTGTTCATTGTTTTCATTATTTGTGATCATGTTGTCTTTCAATACAGGCATAAACCTTCCACTCTTGAACAAAGCAGCTGCTTTTTAAAAGCGGTAATTGCTTCTTTACCTTTTATTTCTTTTGTAAATGAAGCTTTTCTTTAAGAAATGTGACTTTAAAGTGTTGTCTCTTGCATAAAACAGTTGACACTTACTTATTGTAAAGTGAAGATTGTTCTGCTGCATGTAAAGTGGACCATGCAGATTTCTGTATGTTTTCAGTATGCATCATTAGATAATAAAGTCTTTTGTGAACAAGGCATTTGTAGCCATTTTTAAAAGAATCTGTCTTCAGTGATGGTAAATCAGGTAATTCGTAAGACCCACTCCTGCATTTCCTATTATCATTTAATTAAAGGAATTATTAAATGTTATGATCTTTGGGAGAGTTATAGGCTATGTTAATTGGATATATAATTATCACTGCTTAAACAAAAGCAAAGCAAAAAACCCTACAGATACTGTCTGTCTGCTTTCATTGTAATGAAATTATTCCTGTAGGACATGGGATTAAATTCAGGCTTTGACTAATGTTTGTGCTGTTTTTCTCACTTTTCCTTTTGATGGTGCTGAAAGAGAAAAAAGGAAAGCGAGTCACAGGCCACTCAACGCCTACTCCATGGGTCTGATTTGCTGAGACACCAACTTCACCTTCCTAACAAGGTTATTTCTGACAGCATGTGTAGATAAACATTTAGCAACGAGTTAAAAAAGCTTGAGACAGTTGAGTTGGTTATACAGGGTGAGGAAAACAGAATCAAACTTTTCAGGTCCATACTGCTGTTTTAATGTTCTCTTTGATGATGTTAAGAAGTTCATCTTTTCATTTTTTATTAATATATTCTAACAAGCTGTGAAAACCCCACTGGTTTCACATACTTTATAATACTTTGAACTAAGAAGGATTTTTGTATCCATCTAGGTACATAATGGCAACAATCATGCACTTTTAGTGCACTCAAGAATGGAAAAATGCCACAAAGCAGGTCATTCTGCTGGTGGGGAATACCCCACCGAGGAGATGTAATGAACTAACTACGAAAACAAGCATGAGATGGGTGGTTTTGTATGCCTATTTGGAACCTTTAACCTGTCTCTTCTCAATTTATTTTGTAAAATCCCTAATAAAAAACAATCTCTCCTTATTTCCACATATTAAGGTATCTTTTTCATACAGGAAGTGAAGAAAGTTAGCTTTCACATTTAGTGAAACACTAGTTGCTTGGTAGTTAAATACAGAAAGTATAACTTGCACTTTTACAACATAGGCAGCACTTCTGAGGGCACTTTTGCACAGATTAGTAATAGCTTATTCTTTCTGTTGCTTTGTACTTTATTCTTAAAATAGGAATATGAAACAATGAAATGAGTTGGTGATACAGAAACAAAGCAGTAGAAAAGATGCCCCTTAATGCCTACAGAACTGTTATAAGCTATTCTGGAGAAGCATAAAGTTGCTCGTTTACTTGTTCTTTGTGTTGTAGGTGCAGCTCAAAAGAAGATGATGGCTACCAGAAGACATGAACAAAGGTTTCTGTCCTATAAAAGATATGAAAAATACTCTTCATCTAGTTCTGTCTTAAACTTTTAGTTTCCAGCATTTCAGTTTAGAATTGATTAACACTGCTGCAGTACTGATAATTGCTGAAACATACGTGCTGTATTAAAATTCGTTACATAGATTGTTTCATTTCTGGTTGAAGAGATTTTTTTTTATTGTGATTAAATGTAGGTAAATAAACCCTTTAAATGTAGTTTTCTTAAAATGACAGGATGATCAGTACGAAGTCTATGACACTTAAGAAAAAATCAGCCATTATATCTGGTTAAAATGTGTGTATTAAGTAAATATTTAAGCAGATTTTGTGCTTTTTTCTTTGACTTCAGTAGGTTCATTATATATTTTAATTCTGTCAAACTTAGTTGTCGATACAGAGACTAGCTGGCAGAGGTTATTCAAAACAAGTGAATTTCAGTTCCTCATGCAGCTGATACTTGTTGGCAACAAGAGAAAATCTTTAGCTCTGGCTTCAAAAACCTCTGGAATTGAGGACTTTGTGACACTCTTAAGGAACGCCTCCAGTTTTGGGCAATATCTGTCCCAATAGCCTGAGGTCTCTGAGGAGAGTAGAGTAGCTGCAGCTGCCACTGCAGTCAGCTGAATTCTCATGGTTGTGGCTGGGTGCAAGCAGAACAGCTGTGCTACAGAGTGAACTATTTCTCAGCTGATCTAAGAGGGAGGATAACTTAATCTTTTCCTCCTGTACACAAAGATGTAATTCATATTTTCACCAGAGGTCCTATGGACAGAAAGTTTGGCTGAAGCTACTGTGCTGATTTCTGTTTCCTTCTCCCTCATGGTGACAAGGAGCTTCACATTTAATATACTCAGTTTGCCAAGCATTCAGAAAAAACAAGATTCCAGCCCTGTGGAATTAGAATGTGTTTTTATTACCTTGGTGTATACTACTATAGTTTAAGAATTAATTACCATTTAAAAGTTTCTAATAGAAGATAATGATTCCTTTAAAACCTTTTTAATAATACTTTATCTCCATACATAGGGTAAGTGGCATTAAACCTCTGAAGAACCTTTATGTGTATATTGACCCACACACAGAAGGCAGACCAGTCTGTGATACTGCTGGAGATAGAGGGATCTTCTACAGTATGTGTAAAGTTGTAATGCGGGTGGAGGATGTTGGGAAGTGGCAGTTGCTTGAAATTAATAAACTATGCTTGAAACTTGCTTACATCCTGTCTTCTGTTGTGCTTACAAATGTCCTACTACAAAGCTGGGAAATATATGAACAATTTTTAAATACGCTAAAAATAAAGTATAATTCTTTGAATGGGGTTATCTGCTTAGGTGTCAGAGGCATTAAAGAAATTGTGGAAGAAGTCTTCCTAAGTATGTAAAATGGAGCTTTGCCTCTCCCCCGGTTTTGGAAGCCCTCTCAGCACCAAATAATTCATGTGGATTCACTTTGGTTTTTCCTTGTGCCTTTTTTTATCGTTTATAGCGAGGTAATAGCCTGTATGAGTCAGGGGATGAAAGAATTGCATTGTATAACAGTGAAGAGAAGTCATACATACTTACAGATTAATCTTTATAAGGAAAAAAAAAACAGCCCAATGGGAGTAGCAGCATGGTGAAGTGGGATAGAGTGTGTGCTTTCATTTATTAACTTGTCAATTATGTATCACATTATTAATCTTAACTATATTTGTGTGGGGGTACAGAAGCGAGACTACCAAATGCATCTCCTAGGCTTTATGTCCTTAAACAACTAAGACCTAATTTAAACTTATGACAAATATTTGTTCTAAATGAAAACTTTTGCCCTTCTTTGTATCATACAACTTTTGAATTCTTCATTGTCTTGATTATTTCTTCATAAACATTGATTTTGATGATTGGGGCCCAGATCTTTCTATAAAGTAGGTAGGGGATAATTATTTATATAATAGTGAAAACTGAGTATTTACAAAGATTCAATTTAAGGCTGCTTAAGAACAGGTAGAAATAAATATGTCATAACTGATACAGTCACTATCTACAGCTGTTCATGGTTCAGTCTTAAAAGTGACTTCTCAAGTGAGAAGGTAGCTTTATGTTCTTGTAAAAAGAAACTAGGAGAGGGGTCAGTGAGCACAACTGAAGTATGCCCTGTTTAAAGAATGGGACTGATACTAGCTCCCAAGAATAATAAGAAAAAAAGGCTATACAGCTTTAAAGAGAAACAAGTTAATAACAAAGGTTACTGGGCACTCTAAGGCAGAGAAAGCTCTTCAAAAAAGAAAGCACTCTTGATTTCCAGTAACACGTCAAAAACCTAATCCCGTATTGTTACAGGAACTGGATCTTTTCATAGACTTAGTGAAACTCTCTTTGACATGTTCTACAAGTTTCTGAAAGCTAATTTGAACCTGCAGCTACAATAGACCTGTCCCTTTGCAGATGTAGATTTATCACAGAATCTGATACGTTACCAGGCAGAAGTATGATTTCTTAGAGGATGCAGGTGAATTTCTTCATTGGTGAAAAGACAGGTAATCACCCTACGTCATCTGTCTAAACAGAATAAAGGGTATCTAATAGCCTTGGTTTGACATTCTGCATATCCAATTTTCAAACAGAGACATTGATGCTCTTTGCTCTACCACTTCGAAAACTCCCTGCCTAAATGGGAAGTGGGAGGGGGGTAATCAGCACAAGCTGGAAATACAGCCACTTCATTCCTTGCACCGTGACTGGAGTACTAGGATCTAAAAATGGATTGGTGGAGCTTCTACAGATAACACTGGAAGGAAAATGCTCTGAGGAAAGCAGCCTGTCCTGTAGGCTGCTGGAAGTGAAGGTGATGTGATATGAAGCCAGCAGCACCTACCGAACAGATTACTCAGGCAGTGAAACATCTGTCCTTGGAGCCAGGATTGAATAGGATGTGATGCCAAGTAACCTGCAGTTAGCCATGCTCTGAGCACAGGGCAAGAAAGATGACCTGCAGCTTGGAGAGGACTGTGACAATTTGGTGTTGTTTTCTGTCATTAGTAAAGGTTTGTTTTGTAGCAGCCTCACTGCTGCCATAATTCTTGTCCAATGTATAAAACCCTCAGTTAGTGGTTATATAGTGGGAAAATATTCTTCCTACAATTTATTGAATTTGAGCTGTACTATAGGAAAGAGTAAGAACAGTGCCGAACACATTAAAAGAAGGAACAGCAGAACTAATATTCTTGATTTTTGACAAAAGCGAGTTTCTTCTGCAAATACCATTTACGGTGGCTTTGAGCTGTCACACTCACTCATCTGTGAATTAACCTGTGTTCTTTCTGCTCTTAAACCCTGCTCTCAAAGGAGGAGGCTGAACTTCACATGTTCCCTATAAAAGGAGCTTTAGCTTATCTAAGTACACCTAAAGCTCAGACATTCTACAAATCTTTCTCCTATGTTAAAACAAAGTTCATGCTAAAAACATTATCCACATGAGATACTCAATGTAGAACAACCCTACATTTGGGCTGCAGCTTTTCCATGGGAAAGAACAAAGTTTTGCTCAACTAAAGCCAAGCTGACCTCCACACCACGGCTATTTGTGTACCCACTAAACAACCAGAAAGGTAACACACAGAATTCTGTAAATAATTTGATAAAATTCACTCTGGATTTCATATCCAGACAGATTAAGTGAGCTGGATGAATCTGGTAAAGGTGCTCTTTCTTTTAGCCTCTTGAGTGAAGATGCCACATTATGGC